GCCACGCATGCTATGAGTCGCACCACGCTCGTGCAACTGATATCGATCCGTCTCTTGGAGTTTCTGGTCCGCATTGCTGTGCACCGCCCGTGCCGCGCGCTTCTGTTTACGCACGTGTTTGAATCGTGCATGCGCTTTCGGTAGACGCTGACGCAGCGGCTGGGGCTGCTCGTCGAATGCCCAATCGATCTCTGCTCTTCTCCCGCAGACGTGAGGCCGCGAGGATGCGGACGTGGGGTGAAGTGAGGATGAGCATGTTGGCGAGGGCGATGAGTGGGAGGGCGGAATGCCGATGAGGCGCAGAGGCAGACGGTGGGCACTAGAGCTGAGATGGCGCAGGGGCGCGGGCGCGCACCTCGCACATGCATGACTGTGTCGTGCGCGCGCTCGCTCAAGTAATGAAGTGCGTGCGGCGTGCAGTGCTGTCTACGCTTCTCCAGTGCGCGTGTCCGAACCTATCATCCTGGCTGTTCGTGCCATTCCATCTCACCATCCCCTGTCGTAACTCATCTCACTCTCGGCGTGCCCTCGGAGCGTCGTCGGGAAAGCCTCGACGCACGAGGTAGGTGCGCTCGTAGCTGGAGTCGTAGTCTGCAGTTGCCTGCGGGCGGGGCGGCGATGGCCGCCGCGGGGGGCGCCCGCAGCTCGCTCTCTGCGCCAGTGCGGCGCAACAGCTTGCGAGATGGCATGGGGGCGGAAGCGACAGAGGACGAGCGAGCGCGAGATAGATAGCGAGTGAGCGGGATAGGTGGGGACGGAAGAGAGGTAGCGCGATAGCGAAAGCCAATTGATGGATGGACAGAAAGACGGTGCATATACGTATACATATGTACACACATTCACGGCCATGCCCGTGCACATGTGCTACCACATTAACGCGTGCATATAACTGTTAACATGTATTCACGTAATTGTTCGATAGTGGGACTCGCCACGAACTGTAGAACCAGGTGTATAGATTGCGAGATATAGAGCGAGCGGGAGCGACATGGGCACGCGGTGATGTATAGATATATATGGAGAGATATCGATAACGAGAGAGAGAGAGATAGATATAGAGCGAGAGGGGGGAGATCGGCAGAGAGGAATGGATATCGCAAGCGATACGTATATATAGTATGTAGACGTACATAGATAGACATATAGACCGAGGCCGACGTGCCGATAGAGTCTGGCCCGAGAAGTAACGAGGGGGGTGGGGGGCGAAACTCCGCGGCGATGGTCGCATCCACGAAGCCCCCCCAGGGACCAACTGGACAATGCCATCGACAACTTCCACGCTTATCTCGAGGGTGACACCGCTGTCGTGTTCGGTGGGCACGACCGACCGTGACGGCGATGCATCATCTGTGGACTCGCCCCGACCTCACTGGTGCTCCCCCCCTTCCCTCCTGGCCCGTAGGCCGTGGCCGTCCGTGGCCCGTGGTCGTGATCAGGGGTCGTCGTGGCCGTGATCAGCGGTCGTCGAGGTCCATGTTCCACCGTCGTGATCTATGGCGGCGCATCGTCGCGGGGAGCGGCCCCCGCTTGCTGAGTTCGTTCGAGGGGCCCGAAGAAGTGTCTCCAGATTGGCTGACGCTCGAGCAAATCAAGGCCCTCAACGCGGGCGCGGCGGAGGGGCTGCCTATTCCGACGCAGACAATGCAACTGAACGAGGTGGCAGAGGAATGTGCATCTGAGCACGACCGTGTCCAGGAGAACTAGAATGCCTGGAAGCAACCACGGCAAGGCCGCGCGCGCTCACGTGGTAGGCGACTAGGGGCCCTCGCTCTCTGAGAGAGAGAGGGGTATACACACATATATATATATATATATATAAATAGAGAGAGAGAGAGAGAGAGGGAGGGAGGAGGGAGAGCGATAGAGAGAGAGAGAGAGAGAGAGAGAGAGAGAGAGAGAGAGCGAACGAGATATATAGAGAAGTAACGAGAGGGCGTGAGAGGGAGACACGCGGGGAGGCACGGAAAGGGGGGATAGAAAGATAACGAAGGAGAGAGACTTGGGGGGATACGGAAAGAGGGGTGCGACAGCACTAAGGAGCGACAGAAGGATATATAGCGGGAGATGTATATTAATGATGTTTGGCTGGGCATCCTGTTTTGTCTCATAGTCTCGCTGTCGCATCCGCGATAACACGCGTGGGCCCAAGTGTGCCGCGCCGCCACTCAGCCAGCAATCATTCCTGCAATCGAACACACCTTGCGGCTGCATCTCCATGAATCGCCCGCCCAAGCGTGCCCGGACGATCGACCCGACGGACTACATACCTTCATATCATCGTGCCGAGTGGGAAGATCAGTGCAATGACATGCGAGATGCAGGCCACAAGTTGATGGTTCACTTGCAGGCCGTGTGGGACTGGCACGGAATATCGCACACCTCCTGCCTCGAATTGCTGTCTGGCGCCGACGACGGGTGCGACGTGGAGCCCGTCGTCGGCGCTGGGCACGTCGAGCGCAGTGGCCGTGCGATGTTCGCAGGGCCTGCTCGCAACTTGCAAGATTAGTGCGGCCGACTTCTGCATTGCGTGCTACTGGGCAGGCAAGGCAGGTGTCAAGGGCGCGTCGTACAACGAGTTTGGCCTTCGCCCTGGGCTCCAAACAGGGCGGTATCAAGCGCTTCTTGATTTAAAATTCCCTGACCCAGACACATGCATTAAGATTTCCGTGCCTACGTACACTCGTAAAACTGGAGTGCTGGAGTCGTACAAGCTACAGGTTTGCGTGGCATTCGAATCTCTTTGGGACGAGCTTCAGACTACCCCAGGCATTATAAGTTCTATCGCAGTAGATCAGTGGCCAGCTATTTATGCGGCCAATCCAGTTGTGCGGCGCGCCCTGGACAACGGCGCGTCGCTGCCGTTGCCACTCGGTCTGTTAAACAGCCTGCGGCAATCCGCCGTGTCTATCACTTGAGCGATGCCAGAACTCACTGCGACTCACTGGTACTCACTGCCCCCAGTGAGTACCAGTGACTGTCGGTGTGTCCCCTTAACAACCACATCTGGTGTGCATCCCCGTGAGCTGCTTGTTTGTATGTGGTTTGGTTTTGTAACTAGCTGAATCAGAGAGGGCGTTCTCTCGTGTACGTTGCGGACCGAGCAGGGCCCGCGCGTGTATATCTTACAGCCTGGGCGACCACATGGTCAGCGGATACGCAGATGGCGTGCGGTACACATCGATCCTCGATAGTGGCACAGACAGCCTGGTTGGGTTTTGGCTAATCAACATGGTATCGATGAAACGTCATTTGATAGCAGTCGCACGTGTAAACCAGATGTGCAGGTGCGGGTGTAAGGGGTGGTGCAGTGTACATACAATTCTACAATATGTCAAATGGTTGATCGTCGCCATTCGCAACGGTCGGAGGCCCGCCCAAATGTTCGACGGCTCGGATCCCGATACGTTTCTGGAGACCATGCGCAGGACGAGGGGGGTCGACCTTGGTTTTACGGGGGTCGTGTGTTGGCTGAAAGGCGATTGGAGTGATATCAATAAAACTCACGGCCTTCCAAACGTCACCAGCGTCCACTCGCCGTGCCCTTTCTGTAGGTGTACTAAGTATGATATGCACGCATGCTATAAACATATTGCCATCGACGACCTTGTGTGGGAGCCAGTGCGCCCTGGCGAATATGAGCGTGACTGTCGCGCGCGAGAGATAAAGGTGCACGTGGCCTCAGACGCTGTCAGGGATGCTATCGGCAGTGCTTTAGTCTATAAGAAGGGGAAGCTTGGCCACGGCAGGACAGTCTCTCGGGACGTGGTGGTGGGAGGGGTGCGGTTATTGAAAGACGACGTGCTGACTCCCAGCTACGAGCTGATGAACATCCACACCCTCAACACCAAACCACCTCCATTCACCATCACATTTTGGAGAACGATCCGTGACATCAATGGCACACGCACTGGTCTGGTTGTACACAGGAGCCCGTTGTTTTGCGATGAAACTGGCGTTGAACCTGTTACTGCCGTTCAGGTTGACGTGCTTCATTCCATATGTTATGGCCCCGTTCAGAGGCTGGCGTCGGCAATACTTTGGCGCATCATAGAAACAAATCCGTGGGGTGCGACAGGAGGCAGACTTACGAAACTGGAGGTATGCGTTCGTCATTTGAAGACTGAGATGGGGACTTGGTTCGAGACAGCCAAGGTTCCGTACAACGACCGCGTGCACGATCTCACAGTCAGTATGCTCGGCGGCGTGCCCTCGTCAGATGCGTCCACATACGAAGGCGGTACAATGCGGTTCAAGGCTCACGAGACTTTAATCATGATGAAGTTTGCGCTGTCTAGGCTCCGAAAAACACCGCGCGTCAGAAACCATCAGGAGTTGTTGAGATCAGGCGAGGCGATGGAAGAGTTTCTTGACACGTTCAAGGGCATGGGGATCAAAGTCCCCGAGGACAAGATCCAGCGTTTGTTTGATTTAATGAAACAACATTTGGTGCTGGCCGAAGACGCTGGCATCCACTACGTTCCAAAACATCATTTCTGCGCCCACTTGGCCGAGAGGACCTGATTGAAACAAACGTCTTTAGGAGTTTGCGTTTTGGGTGCGGGGGAGGGGCGGCGCAAAGGGGGAGGCGGCCTTTGCACGGCGGCCCTCTTATATTAGCTCTGCGCACGTTACTGCGCCCCCTTTGCACTGCCGCCACCAAACCTAGAGCGCTGCATGTCAAGATTGCCTGGCCTCCTTGGTGTTTTTTCTCTGCAGGGGCGCTCGTCGCGCGCGCTGGATTCGGATCGAAATGACGGCGCTCAGAACCGAAACCTGGTCCGTTCCTGCATGCACCAGGATCAGATGGGCAGGGAATCCGAAATTCTACGCTTGTTACGTGGACGAGGGGCTGAACATGTTGCTCAGGAGCACGGCTGAACGCTCGCATCGGATCAAGTTCGAATATCGGATCTTCAAGCTCTTCCTCCTCGTTTCGAAGCTCGGGCTCAATCGATACGTCTACGTGCCATGCCCCATATCTATGTAACGCCTCTGTGTTCATGGCGCCGTGGACTGGCGACCCGTGCTACCGTCAGCGTTGCATCAACAGAGTGCCTAGCTGGATTACCCGGGAGGCACGATCTGTTGCGGAGCAGTGTGGCTACACCGCAGACCAGGTGAACACGCCCTGTCTGGTGGACATGGCTAACTTGCTTCCAATGCTCGATGCCGTGCGACATGGTTGGATGTCTTGCAGTGAGCCGTTCCCTCGCGTGCTCGATTTGGTTTTGGTTTTCGCAGGGGACTCGCAGGCGGCAGTAAAAGCGAATGAGAAGGGCATGATGTGTGGCACCATTGACAAACTTCACGGCGATGATCAGGACATCACGTCCATCGTGGGAATGCTGTACGCAGTTTTCCTCATTGTGTCACTGAAAGTAGACGCGCTCGCATGGTTCTCGCCAGAATGTTCCACGTGGCTCACTTTCCTTTCAAGGGGAACGTACAAACGTTGCAGCTGCGGGAACAACATCTTGGGGGACCTGAACCTGGCCAAATGCACCACAGCCAACTCAGCATCTGCGGCCTGTGCGTTTCTGGTGATGCTCACCCATTTCCGCCACGCCTTCTACGGGCTTGAGAATCCGCTCAACTCGTTGCTGTTCCAGGCCGCGGCGTGCGCAACAGACCATAAGACACTGTAAGGGAGGACGGAGGCTGGAGGAGAGTGGAGGGACGAGGAGGCGGAGGGAGATAGGGGGTGGGCGGATGAGAGCTGGGAATGAGGAGGGCGATGCAACGATGGACGAATTCGAGGATGGATGCCTGGAGGGCGGATCAGGCAGGCAGCTTGGCAACTGAAAACGACATTACGAGGGATGGCGGCGTCCGAAAACCACGAGTATGAGATGCAGGAAGGATGATGGACGGGTGACGGGAGGAGGTGTTAATATGACTGGAATGGGCGATGCGCCCGCCCCCCCCCCGTGTTCCTGTCCCAAGGCCGAGTGGGTGTCCGACGCCATCCGCGTCTCCATGGGGCACCGCTTCGTTACGAGCCTTGGCCAGTTCGGCGCCCCGACGCAGAAAACCCTCGAGCTGTATTCAAACGTGCAACAGTCGATCTTTTCGAGCCTTCTGTGTAGGAAGGGCACTAGGAAGCGCAAGTCCGATGGCACTGAGCTTGCGCCTGTAAAGGGAAATCACGTTGACGGCAACAAGGCCGCGCTGTCTGCGTCGGCGGCCTATCCTGCCGAATTTTGCTATGCGATTGTGGAGCTCGCTAGCGCACTGTTGGACGATTAGACGGTGGCGGGATGTATTGATCCATGACGATGACGGCGAGGAGGAGGAGGAGGAGGAGGAGGAGGAGGGTGAGGCATGCTTGCAAACACATCGGAGATAGCGAGAGGCACGGTGACACGTGCACAGCTGAACGCCCCGAGTTTTCCCCCACAACTCAGGCGACCCAGGGATCGAACTCTCGTTCGCTGAACTATTTGAAACATAAAAATGCATCGCGTTACCGATCATAGGACGGGCGGGGGCACCATTCAATGTCGGCTATTCTGCTGTGCACGTGTCGTCCATGCGTGTGCGATCGCAAATGTTGCTAGACGATGCGGCGGCACTGGCGATATACCGCTGGCCGTGCCGCTGGGCAAGCGCGCATCTGGCGTTCTGCTGGTGCACGCTGCGACGTGGTGCACGCTGCTGAGACGTGTGTAAACATGTTCGAGCGGCTCGTCGACTGACATAGTCTTTTCTCTCTCTCTCTCTCTCTATCTATCTCTCTCCCTCTCTCTCTCTCTCACTGCCGTTGCCCCCCTCCTCCTGCTCCCGCGCTGCCCCGCCCGTTTGCGCTCCCTCTTGCCCGGCGGCGGCGCGTTCGCGGCGAAGGGGCGCCCGCTGATCGCACGCAGTAGGTTCGAACGCCGTCGACCAGCGGCCTCGGGACTCACTGGGAGTCACTGGCACCAGTGAGTCCCAGTGAGTCCCAGTGAGTTCGGACCCCTGCGAGCGTTCCACGCGTTGCCCCTTCGCGCCTGACCGGGCATCCCTCACATTGCCACCCTCCCCCCGCCTCTTCCCCCCCCCCCTGCGCTATTGCCATCCACCCCCCCTTGCAATCCACCATGCTCCCCCATCTGTCCCATGTCCTCCCGCTTCTTCCCCCCCCTCCCCGCCCGCCTCTTCCTCCTTCCACTCCCCCATCCCGCCTCCCGTCTCCGCACTCTCCCACATCTTCCTCCCTCTCCCCCCGCCCCTGCTTTATATCACTCCCCACCCGCCTCCGCTCCCCCGCCGCGCCGTCCCTCTCATGCCGTGCCCTCCCCGATCGACCCCTCCCTCGCGCCTCGCTCTTCTCTGTCCGCTGCCCCGCTTGCCCGGGCGGCGAGGGGGCAGGGCCTCCGTCGGGCCGTAGACGTCCATCGCGCCGTGGGCGTCGGGAACGGCGTCGTTGGGGCGGCCGTCGTCGCCGTCGTCCCTCCCCCCTTCTCCACCTCCGTATTCCTCTTCATCATCCCTTTTCCTCCTCCATCCCTTTCCCCCGTCCCCACCTCCTCCCCCCCCCATGCCCCTACCTTTCGCCCGTCCTTCCTCCCTCCGCCCTCTCGCCCACCTCTTCCCCATCCTTCCCTCCTCCCTCTCGACTCTCGCTCCCCTCCCCTCGCCTCCCTCCTCCTCCTCGCCTCCCTCCTTCATCCCACTCAACTCCTCCTCCTCGCTTCCCCTCCCCCCTCCTCCTCCCTCCTCTCGCCTCCCTCCTCCTAGTCGCCTCCCTCCTCCGTAGCAATTTTGGCTCAATCCATTTTGGCTCAAGTTCAACCGCTCGGCCCTGGTGGTTGAGCTTGGTCGCGTCCGAAAGGCTTGGCTCGACGCCTATAGTGTTCGATAACTTGTCTGGTAAAATGCAGCAGAACTACCGCGAGCGACGAACGATCGCGATTCAGATGCAACAACGCATCACGATTCTAGATCTACGTAATCACCACCATCATCATTCTAGATCCGCACACGCAATGTAGATCCACGATACCAGGATCTAGATTCAAGATCTGGGCGACCCCAGGGAAGGGGGTCGTGCTCGGGCTCTCCTCGGGCTGCCCCCTGGAGCGGCGCGGCTGCTGGCGGCCCGGGGTCGGGCCTCTCCTCGCTCTGCCGGGCGTTGCTGGCCGGTATTTCGATTGGCAATCCACGCGTGGTTGGCCCGGCCAACGCCGTGGAGCCCGCTGGCGTCTGGGCGGCCGGCGTCGCTTGGATCTCCGTCGCCTCGGAGTCAGAGGCGGCCCCGATGTCCGCCCGTCTCGGCGTCGGTTCCCGCTGCCGCGCCTGCCGCGGCCAGCCGCGGAGGGAGGGGCGGCGGCGCTGGCTTGGCGGGGGCCCCTGCGGCGGCGCAGGAGGGGGCCCCGGGGCCGCCGCCCCTCGACGGGGCCACGGCCCGCGCCGCCGGGAACAGGCGCCTCGGGAGTGACGTCGGGCCCCGCCTCCACCGATGGCCGCGGTGCCGCCTCCAGCTGCGACAGCGACGGCGGGAGGGGCCTCGTGGCTTAATTAGCCCAGCGGGTCGCCTCGGGGGGGCCCGTCGCCGTCGTAGAGGGGGGCCGCCATGCTGGGGGTGGCTGCTCGCTCCTGCTGGGCCCCGGCACGGGCGCGCCCCCCCGCCACTCGGTTCCTCCGGCGACGGGGGGGGTTCGCAGAGCGCGACGTCCTGCGCCTCGGGGAGCTCGCGCACGGGCGCCGTGGTGATCGGGACCTGAATGTCCGGCGGCGGCTGCCCGTCTCGCCTCTGCGCGGCCGCCGCGCTGCTGTTGTGATGCTCCGCGCGGTCCCATCTCGGGCTCTCCTTTTGGGCGCGCTGTTGCAGCCGCCGGAGCAGCTCGTCCCCGGGGCGTGCCCGGCGGTCGCCTCGCAGGCCCAGTTGGTCAGCTCTCGCGGCTCCGACCGCGCGTCGGCGTAGCTGGTGCGACGGTAGACGTGGATCCAGTCGCCCAGCACCTCTGGTGCCCAGTTCGCTTTCAGGTTTTCCGGCTCCGGCTGTCGCTCTCGCAGCAGGTCGATCAGGTCGTCGCCGGTCGGGGCCCCCGACGCTTCGAAGTGGCGGTTTGGCCCCAGACTGCTGCCGCGGCTGTGGGGGTGTCCCCCCAGGTGACTTCGGCCCTCGGGGTCTGTGGTGCCGACGTCCCCGATTTGCCCATCGAGCTCTCCGCTTTCTGTTGCCCCGTCAGCCTGGTCCTCCCCGTCGGGGAAGCTTGCCAGCGCGTGCTCGAGGAGGTCCGGCCTCTCGCGCATCGGCAGGAGGCTGAGCCCAGCCCGTGTCATGCTGCGGCCGTCGGCCGCCGGGCCTTGTGAGGCGTGGTCGGCGTGGAAGGGCGCGGCGAGCGGCGGCGCCCCTGCGGCGCGGGCCTCCGCGGCCGGGCGGCTGCTGGTGAGGGGGCTCACCTCGCGCGGCATCTCCGCCGCCCAGTCGAGCGCGGGGGGGCCGCCAGCCGTCCTGTCCGAGCCGCGTGCGGCGTAGGGCATCTGGCGTGGCCCCGAACGCGTGGTAGACCTGCTCGTCATTGCAGCTCGCGAACAGCGTGACGCCCCCCTCGCCCTGCTCGGCGGCGAGGGGGGTGGAAGTCGCTCAGCTGTGCCATGGGCGCCTCAGGGCCTCGGCGGCTCAGCGCATGGGCCCGCGCCCGCGCCGCTGGCCGCGCGCCGGGCCCCGGGGGGGGGCTCAGGCGGGGGCGGCATGCCGCCCCGCCGTTGCAGTGGCGGGCCCGCGGCCCGCCACTGCAGGGCCTGGCCCAGGGCGGCGGCGGCGGCGCGGCCGGCGCAGTGGCGGGCCCCGCGGGCGACCGCGCCGCCGAGGCGATGGCAGCCGACCCGCGCTCAGCCCCGCTCTAGAGCGCTGCGCGGCAGCGGCAGGTTTGGCTGTGGCATGCATGGGTGTGATCTAGTGCGCCTGCGGGCTCGGGCATGCCCGGCAGCTGGCCTCTTCCGCGAGTAGGGTTGCAACGCCCCGTGCAGTCTACTCCGGCGCTTCCCCTGCGCCATCTGCCGCGTATACCCGTCGCGGTCGTAGAGAACTTGGTCGGCGCAGCACTCGCGCGCCCTCTGGCTCCAACTCCGTCTCTGAGAGGTCGTCGTCCGCAGCGATCTCAGGGGGCGGGGGTGGCCCGCGCCCGCGCGGGCAGCGGCGCCAACGGCAGCAGCGAGCGCCCTGGCGGCGCTCGCCACGCAGCGGCAGCCGCGGGCTCCCAGCAGGCGCCCAGCGGCCCTGAGCAGGCGGCAGTCAGCACGAGCGACAAGCCCCAGCTGCTTTCCCCGGCCGGGCCCTGGGTCGGCGAGTTGTCCAAGCTTGACCAGGTCGTCCGCGTCGAGGTGAAGCGCGCGCTCGCGGGGCTGGCCCCTGCCGGGCGCCTCGCGGCGCAGGTGGGGCGTCTCGGGGGGCGCCTCCTCCAGGTGGCGGCGCAGGCGCCCAGAGGTTGATCCGCAGACGGTCTCGCAGACGGCCCGGCGCGCGGTCCAGGGCTCCTGTTCTCGTTTTTCGGCTGACGCGCGCGGCCTGACTCTCCGCGACGTAGATGAGGTGCCGAGGGCGGCCATTGGTTCCTCTCGGGCGCACCTCGTTGTGCGTCGCGTTGCCGACTGGGCGCGGGGCCCCTGGCGATCCGCTCCAGCGGCGGCGGCAGGGGCGCCCCAGGGGGGGGGCGGGCGGCAGCGGCGGCTGCAGCACTCGAGGCGCGCCCGCGCGGGGCCGAAAAGGAAGGCGTCGACTGCGACGGCGAGGCCCAGACAGCCCCGACCTCCCGATCGAGACACTGGCATCCTAGGGTCACCAGGGGCGAGGTCCAGGCGACGGGCGCGTACTCCCCGAAGGCGATCCCCCAGGCTTGGCGGGCGGGGGCCCAGAAGGGGCCCCGCCGCGGCCGCCGCGGCGGCGGCGCGACCCAAGCGGGCCCGCAGCGCGGCGGACCAGCTCCAAGCGGGGGCGGCGGGTCCAGCGGGGGTGGCCGCAGGGGTGGCGGGCATTGGTCTCCAGGCGGGCAGCCAGCAGAAAGCCGCCCGCATCAATTACGGGGGGCGCGGGCCCTGGGTCTGGGGCGGGCGGCTCTCCCGTCTCCTCGTGGCTGTCCTCGCCCACGTCGTTGCCATCGTCCTCGTCGTCCTCGACGATGGCGTTTGGCGCGGTGTGGCTGGCGAGCTGGGCCGCCGTCGTGCTCGGCATGCCCTGCTCCGCCTCGTAGTAGTATCCATGGTGCCTGTCGTGCTCGGCAGGGGCTCGTGGCGGCGGCTGGGCCGCCACTGGTGGCGATGGCGTTATTTCGCTGGGCGACGCGCCCCTGGGAAGATCCAGCCTGTGCTCGACTGCCCGAGCGAGTTCAGCAGCTGTCGGCCCGTCACGGCCATCGGTCATGGCTGCCGCGGAATCCGCGTCGTCGAGCTTCGCGAAGCCCGGGGCGGCAAGATGATCAACGTCATCGTACGTGTAGTCCTTCTCTGTTGTTTCGGTCTCCCACGCCAAGAGGGACAAGGCGGCCAAGGTGGGCGCCTCGGGCGCTGGGCGCGCCCGTGGCCCGGCGGCTGCCTGCATGGCTGCGGGCGGTGGCTGGGCGTCTGGCGCCGAGGCGGTGCCGGCCGCGAGGCGGTGGCCCAGCGGCGCGGGCAGCCCAGCGGCGGCGGCGGCCGCGCCTGCGCCCCAGCGTAGCACAGCGGCCGCCGCCGGGACCGCAAGCCAGGCGGCGACCACCATGGCTGTGGCACCCCGGAGGAGGCCCTCCTCCCTCTGCAGAAAGGATGGGGCTCAGCGCCGCTGAGCCGAAAAACTTCAGCGCAAACTCCTCCTCTGCGACCCTTACCCTTTAAACCTCATGTTTTGAGCTACTGCACAAAACTGCGCCGCGGCGGCGGGATATTTTGTTGCCGGTTGTTATTGGGTGTCGACGGCGCTCAAGTAGCTTCCAGAAAACATAACGATTTGCCAACCTAGAAAAGGGGAGAAACGCGAGGTTAGCCTGCTCATGGCCTGCTCGTTGCCAGGGTTCGCCGTGGGTAGGAAAGCCCTCTCGCTCCGCATTCGACGTCCCTTGCGGTGGCACGACGACCGTGTGTATAGGTCCCGTCGCCCCAGAGAGGTGGACCTCCTTTCCGCCGACGGCGATTCGCCCCTCCACGCGGCCGCGGCGGGCGGCCACGCGGCCGTGGCGTCGGTGCTGCTGGAGGCCCCTCAGCGGCCGCCTTGCGGCGCCGCCGTTGCCCGGCTTGGACGGGGAGCGTGCCCACCTCGCGGTCCACCACTCTCCGGCCGCGGCCGGCGACGAGGCGTTTTTTCTGAACTCTCGGCCTCCGTGGGTCGACTCGGGATTTTGGGGGGCTGTCAAAGGGTGTCTTGGGACGAGAAGAGTTGGGCGATGGTCCTGGGGAAGGGGTCGGTAGGTCTGGGGCCACGAGGCTCGAAAAGATCGGGTCGTCGGAGGTTCTGCGGGGGGTGAGGACTTAGGGGGGCGGTGATGTAATGTCTGGGCCATGAACTCCCACATGTCATGGCTCTGTCTTCTTCTTTCCAAGCATCCCCGTCGTCCGCGCAAATGCCTCAGCCCATGATTCGCTGACCCCTCTGTTCCTAGCTCTCCTCTTCGGTAACCCCCGATATATACAGGGCGACTTTCGCGAAACGTGTCTTCGGGGTTCGCGTCTTCATGTGATTTGCGCCACGGGCAGGGATCGCGGGCCGCCGCTGGCGCTGCTGCTGCTGCCGCCCTAGACGGGGTTCTAGGATCGAGGTTCGGGGTTGGACGTCGTCGTTTTGGATGTTGCAGTTTCTCGTCGAATTGGCCAGGGTGGACCCCAGGAGGAGTCTGGGGACCGACTCTTAGAGCATGTTTGAGAAATCTGGCGGCTCGAATAATCGAGGTCCGAGGTTTTTGGATGTTTTGGGATCTCCTTGGGCGCCCTCGTGGCCGCGGCTGGATCCTCGTCAACGCTCCTCTCCTTATCCCTTGACTGCGGCTGTTCGGTCCGCGAAGTCTGATACGCGCTAGTCTCACCAGACTGGCGTAACGCTAACAGAACACGTCATGCAGCACCATATCACCTTCGTTTATCGGATCGGTGACTACGTTATCGAAGACGCCTACGGCGAATCACCGCGGCCCCCTGCCTTCAGAATCGCCCATGTGGCCGAGCGTTGTGGCAAGAGCTCTTCCAAGCTATCGGACCATGTGTTCCCCCAGCCGTTGTGGAAACCCTTCGTGGAACACGTGGGGGAGGATGGCGGAGAAGATCAGTCGGAGGCGGAGGAGAAGGTGGAGGAGGAGGAGGAGGAGGAGGTGGAGGAGAAGGAGGAGAAGGATGAGGACAAAGAGGAGGAACAGGGGGCAACTTGGGAGCCTCTGGGGACACTCTTGCAGCCTCCTGGGAGCTTCCTGGGAGCCTCTTGGAGGCATCTTGGGGGCCCTCTTGAAGGCCTCTTGGGAGCCTTCGGGGGCTTCTCGGGAACCTCTTTGGCCATCTTGGTGGGCTCCCAGCCCGTTTGACGCCGTCGGGAACCGTCTTGGGGGCCACTCTGGGCTGACTTGGGGCCCTCTTGGGGTGCTCCAGGGCCGTTTTGGAGGCCATCTTGGGCGTCTTGGAGGCCTCTTGGGCCGTCTTGGGGCGCTTTTGGGCCCGTCTTGGAGGCCTCTTGGGCTGCTCTGGGGCCATCCTGGAGGCCTCTTGGGCGATCTTGGGGTGATCTTTGGGGGCTCTTGGGCCGTCTCGGGCCGTCGGAAGGCCGAACATAAGCAATTGCCAACATCCTTCAAAAACCTTGGGATATTCAATGGTTTTAGCCTCTTCGGGCTTTCCTGGGGGCTCTCTTGGAGGCCTCGTGGGCCGCCTTGGGCCATCTTAGGGCCATCTTGTGCCGTCTTGGTGGGCTCCTGGCCCGTCTGACGCCGTCGGAAGCCATCTTGGGGGCCTCTCTGGGCCGACTTGGTGCCCTCTTGGAATGCTCTAGGGCCGTCTGGGGAACCGTCTTGGGCGTCGGAGGCATCTTGGGCCGTCGTTGGGCCCTCTTGGGCCCGTCTTGGGGGCCTCTTGGGGCGTTCTGTGGCCATTTGGGAGGCCTCTTGGGCGATCTTTGGGGGCTCTTGGGCCGTCTCGGGCCGTCGGAAGGCCGACAAGAAGCAACTGCCAAAATCATTCGAAAGTCCGTAAGGAAAATCACAGATTTTGGCATCTTCGGGCCTCTCTGGGGGCTCTCTTGGAGGCCTCTTAGGCCATCTTAGAGCCAACTTGGGCTGTCTTGGTGGGCTCCTGGCCCGTCTGACGCCGTCGGAAGCCGTCTTGGGGGCCTCTCTGGGCCGACTTAGGGCCTTCTTGGGGTGCTCCAGGGCACTCTTGGAGGCTTCCTTGGGCGTCTTAGAGGCCTTTTGGGCTGTCTTTGGGCCCTCTTGGGGCCGTCTTGGCGGCCTCTTGGGCAGTCCTGAGGCCATCTTGGAGGCTTCTTGGGCGCTCTGGGGGCGATCTTGGGGGCCTCTTGGGCCGTCTTGGGTCGTCGGAAGTCCAACAAAGAGCAAATACGATCATCGTTCAAAAACCTAGGGAAAACCAATGATTTCAACATCTTCGGGCCCGCCTGGAGGACCTCTCGGAGGCCTCTTGGGCCGTCTTGGAGGCCTCTTGGACACCTCTTGGGCAGTTTTGGGCCGTATTGGAGGCTTCTTGGGCGTATCTGGAAGTATTTTGCACCCTCTCCTCAGGCCGTCTTGGATGCCATCTTGGCCATCTTGGAGGCATCTTGGAGGACAGCTTGGGCCATCTTGGAGCCGTCTGGAGGGGAACGAACAATCCTTTGCAGCCACCTTTTGTATACTTTTCCGGGTGGCCGGCGGGACGGGTAGAAAGCCTCAGGGGGAGTTCTACAAGAACCAACACCGAAAGGATTCAGCACGCTGGGCACCCCTGTGACAAGCACAGGGGGCGGCGGATCGAAGACGCCTACGGCGAATCACCGCCGCCCCCTGCCTTTTCGGAAGCGCCTATGTGGTTGAATGTTGAGGCCAGACCTGCTCAGCTATCGGACCATGTGTTCCCCGAATCGGCTTGGAAAGCCTTCGGGGAACACGTGGGCGTCTTGAAGGTCATCTTGGCCGTCTGGAGGCCATGACTGAAGCAAAGTGCCAACAAAGCTCCAACAAATCCCAAACAAAGCTGGATCAAGCTCCACCAAAGCTCCAACGGCGCTCAAACCAAGCGCAAACAAAGCTTACACAAAGCTCAACCACCTCTCAAGCAAACATTAATCGACGCTTAAACAAAGTTCCAACAAAGCTCGAACATACCTCAAACAAAGCTCAAACAAAGCTCAAACATCGTTTGGCCAGGGAGCAGCCCCCGCCCCTGGCCGCCCTGGGCCCTGGCCCTGGCCCTGGCCCTTCCAGGTCTGGGCCCTGGCCCGGCCCCTGCGCGGGCCCTGGCTCGGGTACCAGACCTCCCAGCCCCTGGCCCTGGCCTGGACCGCCCCCCTTCCCTTCCGGTTCGAGCCTCTCGTTCGAGCCAGGGGGGGGAGGGGAGTTCGCTCCCGGTTCGAGCCGGGAGGGGTGCCCCTCCCCCTCCCCCCCTTTCCCCCAGTTCGAGCCCAGCCCCCGCCCCCCACGGTTCGAACTGGGGTTTTGCACGTGCACCCCGTGCCGGTGCCCGACCGATCCGAGCAGGGGAGGGTTCTCCACCCTGGTTCCCAGGAAGGGGGTGGGGGAAATTTACCCCCCCACCTTCCCCCCAGTTTCTAGGAGGGGAGGGACATTTTTTTAGTGAAGCGATGGTGAATTGCGTTCCCTCCAATGTAGCATGACTAACACAGAGGGGGTCCACCGCAAGGACAGAAGTTGGCGCTGTCAACTGGAGAACACACAACATGGAATACGAAACTCGGGGTAGCTGGGGAGCTACGTAATAGTGCTGCTGGCGACAGCCGAGACATGCAAGCAAGCAGGCAGGCAGGCCACCGCCAAGAAGGAACGTGGCGCAGGCTTGTTCTGGACGGAATTGGAGAGCACGTGCTGAAGGCTGAAGCAAGTTAGCTTTATCATCAGTTCAGGGTTTACCCGACAACTGTTCATGACTTGCCCATCTGTGATCGTCTTTTTGGCTCAAGGGAGCTCATTTGCTGAGGCTGCTGCTGCTGCTACCAAGCGCTGGACGGGGTACTGCGGTTCGACGTTGCCAGGGTGTCGAGGCGGTTAGTGCCGCTGCCAAGCAGGACATGACATATGCTAAAAGGGCATAGCGCGGCAGAATCACATAGCGTCCAGACAGAGGCGGTGGAGAGCCAGTGTAACTTGGAAGGTCAGAGCGAGAGCGATTTGAACGAAATGGTCGTTTCGTTTCATAATGCATAGATGATCGCTACGCAGCGATCGCTGCATTGAAGTGCTGGCGATACCGGTTTGACGAACAGCGTTCAAAGAGATGCACATGTTGCCGTTTCGGAGTGAGCTGAGCGGGGTGGGTTTCAGGCTTTTGTCGGCGCGCGCCCCGCGCGTTGGCCAGCGTTGCCGCTGGTGCGGCTGCTCCTACCTACCTGCTGCGCGCCGGTGGCGGCGCAAAAGGCACCGCAAGGGGGGCCCAGCGCCGATCCAAGAAGTCCGCGCGGACCTCGAAAGTTAGATATTTGCGTTGTGTGTCCTTTCCTCGTAGGGAAGGAGGGGAGAGGGTGCGAGGACGAGGAGGAGAAGGACGAGGGAGGAGGAGGAGGAGGAGGAGACGAAAAGGAGAGGGCAAGAGGAGAGATGTCGGATCCCGCCCCAATCAATATGAGACGGAGAGGCGGGCGCCTCGCCGCGTGCGCGGGACGCTGCGGGGCGGACGGCGCTGGAGCTCGCGCGCGCCGCAGGTCTCCACGGTCGTCGCCGCTGTGGTCGCCGTCGGTCGTCACGTCACCGTCGCCGCCGCGGGTCGTCGTCGTCGTCGTCGTCGTCCTCGACCGTTGCACTAGGTCGTAGCCCTCGATCGTCGCCGTCGGTCGTCGCCATCATCATCGTGGTCGTCATCGTCTTTCGCGGCCGTTGCGCACGGACATCATGTTGGAAGCTTGTTACTGAGGGCAAGTCCCGACTTCTCGTGCGAGATTAGGCTGACCCCATCGTCAGCGTTGTATTTTTGAAACGGGGAGGCGGTTACGAATCGGACATTGTCCTTAGAGTGACAAGACAGTGCGCAGTCAAGACGCCGAAATGAGCACCACTTAGGGTGGGTCGGGCGGGCGGGCCCTTGCGGGCGGATCGGGCATGTGGGGCTTTGAAACGAGATTCGTGAAGTCTCAGGCGAGAGCACGATTCCTCAGTAAATGTTCAGCCAGTGTGGACCCCACCTAGTTGCAAGTTAGGTTGTGCAGTCTAGTTGGTGTGATCTAGGTGGTGCAATCTATGTGGTGCAATCCATATTGTGCAATCTTTCTGGTGCAAAGCAATGCGACACAATGCAACGCAATGCAGAGCAATGCAGCGTCATACAAAGTAAATTAGGCCAACGCATAGCAAAACAAACCAATGCAATGCGATGCAAAACACTGCGAACTAATACAGAGCAATGCAAAGCATCGCAAACCAATTCACATCAATGCGATGCGATGCAAAACAATGCAACTCAATGCAGAGCAATGCAAAACACCGCAGAGCAACGCAAAGAAACGCAGCGCAAGGCAACCCAGTTCGCAGTGATGCAAAGCAATGCACAGCATTGCAACTCGGATCCTGGTCTGGCTGTCCGTTATCGCTGTGCTCTTGCTCGGTGCGTGATCTCAACCTTGTCACGAATTTGACGACCCAGCACCCGAGGCCACGTGCTCTCGCCAGTGCTCAGCATGCCTCCGAATGTGAGTCATCCGTCGAGTGCACTCGCGCATCTGGCGAGTGGCGCGGCAATGAAGGGCCGCCGAGTGCTCGCGCATTACGACTGGGGCGATGACTACTGGCACGAGAGGTTCCTGTTGGAGCCCCTCGTTGCGAGGAGGTGGAACATTTGCCAGACCGCCGCGCGACCTGTGCGACGGGGATCTGGCGGAGGCGGTGGGCCTTGAGAATGGTGGGTCTCATGGTGGTGTGTGTTTGCGTCGCCCCCCAGGACGCCATGTTTTTACGTATTGATATGGATGGGTTCCAGCAGCGCTTGCCAGGCCTCGAGGGGGACGCGAGAGACTTGGTGGACAAGTTCAAGCGCGACGAGGGGTTTGCCGTCGTTCTATCGTCCGATGATGCCGCCGCAGAACCAGAACCGCCGCTTCCCCCGCCACTCGGGTCCCCTCCGGGCGCAGATGTCATCGGAGGCGCGCTGTGCGGAAAGCCGAAGCAGCCGTTGGGTGAATGGGTCGTGGTCGAGCAGCTGGCAGGCTCTTAAGTCAAGCATTCGGTGCTATCAAGGCGACCTTGGTGGAGGGTGATCGTGCGCTGCTTGTCCTGACCGACGGCACCGTGCCAGAAGGAACGCCTGGCGCGGTTCATCTGCCCACGTTTCGTGGTGCTCAGGCTAATGTGCCGACGTTGGCCATCAAAACGGACACGCTCGGCGACCAGATGCGGCCGTTCATCGAGGCGGCGAATGCTATATCCCAGGGTCCCGGGTGGCCCATCGAGGGCCCGAGAACGTGCTCGTGGCTACTGCAGCAGTTCTCGAAGCCGGGCCGGTCCCAGTTTAACTACACCACTGGCGGCGGCAGGTACAACAGCTCACGGCGAATGATGCCTTTCGAGCGTGCCTTTTTGAGCGTGGTTCCCGCGGTGGAGACCAGATCGACCAGGCATGTTTCCCAAACCTTGCCCTGGCGTAGATGGACGGCGCGCGGGCCCTCGCATCGTTAGACGGATGGCGGCGGCGGCGGTGGCGGCGGCTTTGCCTGGCTTGATGATGGGGGAGTTTTTCTTGACCGGCAGCGCGGGAGGTGCTCTGTCCTCGTGGGCCCGCTGCTGAAAAGGGTGAGTCACGAAGAGTCGCCGAACGCACGCGGCAGTCCTGAAGGAACGAAGGAATGGGCGGGAGGATATGCTGCTCGCGGCTGGTGTTGCCCTTGCCCCGTCGACTGGTTCTGTTGTACATGCTTGTGGCGGCGGTCAGGGGCACTGCCCAAGGCCAAATCCAGTGCCGAAGCCAAGCCCGAGGCCGACCGAGCAGAGGCGGGCGGGGTGAGCCCGCTCTCGCCAGGCGGCAGTGGCCCCCCGATGTGTTGCCTGTCTTCCAGGGGAGGCGCGCGCGGTCTGGCTGGCGTTGCGTTTTTGGCCATGGGTGAGCTGGGCGCGTCGCGCGACCTCCTTCCGATCCCAGTCGGGGCGGGCCTCGATGAGGTTCCGCGTGGTTCCGTGCCATTTGGGCAGTCTACGGTTTCGAGCAGGCGGAGTGCTGGGAGGAAACGGCACGATCGGCGGCTGCATGGTGGTACGCAAAGCTTGAACGAGCTGGGGGTCGGGGGCGCAAGGTCGCTCGTTGCGCCGCGCTCACGGGGTCCAAGAGCTGCCGTTCGCCTTGTTGGGCGGCGTGGCTCAGTGAGCTTTCCAGATCAGCACCGTGGTATTTCGGAGGAGCGTATCTATGCTCCGATCTGCTCCCCGGATGTAGATTTGTAGTAGGGATTATTCGGCGCCGCATGTTTTGTTTACCAATCTTTTTCTGTTGAAATGTGTTTCGTTTTCCCTGCGCTGTGCCGCGTTTCCCCCTTCTTCTACCCCCCGCTGCCCTGCTCCGCTCGCTGCCGTCTCTGCTGCGCTGCCTGCTGCGCGCCGCTGGTGGCCTGTCGACGCCGCGCGCTGCCGCTGCTGCGAACGTCGCGGTTGGTCTGGCGAGCTCCTCGCGAGCTCCTCGCGCGGGTCGCGCCTGGCGAGCTCCTCGCGCGGGTCGGCCCCAGCAGGAGCGCGCCAAAAGTGTTTCCGCGCTCGCTCTGGCGCGCCCCTTAGCGTGGAGCGCAGCCCGCAATGGGCCCCGCCCCTGGGCCCAGGTGGGGCGCCCCCCAGAAGCGCATCAGCAGCCATTGCGGCGCGCCTCCCCCGCGGCTCGCGCCAGCGAGGGAGCTCCTCCCACGGCCCTCGCGGGGGCGCCCCCGCTGCGTTTCCGTGCCCGCGTCGGCGCGCCCCTCTCGAAGAACGCGGCCGTGCGCAGAAGGCCCCAGCGGGAGTTCCCACGGCGTCGCCGCGCCTGTTTCGGCTCGCATTTTCAAGTTGATGGCGCCCCGCATGGAGCGCTACTTCAAGCCCGGCAGGGGCAGTCTTAATTGCGCGTGGCGCATTCGTGCAAATGTCTGCTCGCGCATGAACACCTCGCGCCCCGCGTGGCAGCTCCGCGCTGGAGTTCTCCGCGGAGGCCGCCCCGCCCGACAACGTCGTCGCGTTTTCCATTCGGGCTGCGCCCCGCGTGGAACTTCACCTGCAGCCCTGGCCGGGGCGCCCGCGCGCGGTCGCCTGCTTTCCACGGCCGCGGGGGATTGTGGAACATCAGAAACAATTATGATGACAAAAATCTCAGGCCCCAATAGTGCGTAACAATTTCGGGATGACGAACGTATTCGCGTGTATTAGTCAAATCGGCCCGCCGAAATTATTTTGCGACGATCGGGCCATGGGTCCGCCGTGGTGGGGAGGATGATCGGGCTCGCCCTCGGCCTCTCCCGCCACGGGGTCCCCGCCCCCGACTCGTCGCGGCGCACCTCGCCACTTTGGGATCGGGGTCCGGGGTCCAGGTCCTGCTGGGGAGAAGAACGGCGGCCTTTTCGGCCTGGGTCCCCTTCCACCAGTACCAGTGCCAGTACCATAGGAAGTCGCCCTGTGACCTTCTCGGTATGTTCGTCGCCCCGGCGACCTGGTGCTTCGCTCCTGGCCGCCGATGGGGCGGGCCAGCGGTTGGCCGCGGCGGGCGATGGTGCCCCGCGCGTGCGGGGGCGGAAGCCGCATCTAAATTCCTTAACGTTCCGCCTTCGTTTGTTTTGGGGGGTTCGAGGGGGCGGAGAGGACGGCGGGGGCGCAGGGGCCAGGCGGGGGGGTCTCGCGGGGGGGGTGGGCAGAGACGGGCAGATCTTGAAAGGGAAAGGGAGGGGCAGGCGGGCGCGGGGAACGGGAATGGTGGCGGGGAGAACAGACGGAAGGACATAAGAACGGGGAGGGGGAGGAGCGAACGGACGGCAGAGGGGGGGAGGGCAGGTCGGTGGCGAGGGAAGGCAGATCTGAGCGGGGACGGAGGCGGGAGGCGAGGTCGCGGCGGGGTTAATGAGGGGGGCGATGGCGGGGCGAGGAGGGAGGAGGGGCGAGCGCGGGGGCGCGGGGGCGCGAATGGGTCGATCTTCCAATTCCAGTGGCCCCTGTTCTCCAGGGGTGAGTTAGCCCAGGCATTGTTCAGGCTGTCTGGATGGGGTCGCCCTGTGAAGGTTATTCTGGGGCCAAACGGGCTTCCCCGCGTGGACAGATTCCTTGGGTCCTCCGACCCCCTTCCGAGGCCTTTTGGAATCGCGGGGCTGTTCGTGCCCGATTTGGAGTTGCACTGTCGATCCAACCTGATCGACGCATGTGCCGGGCAAGTGCGGGGGCCGTGCATGGCGCGAGGCGCCCCCCTAGGGGGGGGGCCCTTGGCAGAGTTGATTTTGGCTTCGGCCCGACAGGACCGGACTTTGGGAATCGGGTTCTCTCGAAGAGTGTGCTCTAGATTACGGTGGCCGTGGAGGTCCCTCTGTAGGCCGCGCTCGCTTGCGTTTCTTGGGGTACTGATCGGGCCCTTATCTTCGCCGGCTCCAACGTCGTGGCCTTCGGGGCCTCTGTCAGTTCTCAGGTCGGCGGAAGGTTCGGGTTTCTGGTAGCCGTCAGGGTGAGTTCCTAACTGCAGCTCGTAGAGTGAAAGACGCGTCTGCTCCCCCAGCCCCTGGCTGGCTGCCACTCCCCGCCACCCTTGGCACAGTGGCTCGCCACGGCCGCCCACCGCGCTCTGGCCCTGCGCGCCTGGCTGCTGCTGCCCGCCGGCTGCTCATCGTCGAATTCTTCGGCGTCTGAGCGTCCCTCCTTCATCCCGGCCTCCCCCCTCCCTCCGTGCACGCTGGCCAATTCGCTCCCCTCACCTTACCTAGCTGTTACGCTGGTGCGGATTTCGCCGCTTCTCCGCTGACGAAAAAGTTCCCCCCATAGTTCGCACCTTGTTCTTTATCAAGGGCAGTCGTCCTGCTCAGTCTGTGTTGTTGGCCTCTGGACTGCGACAACAACGGCTTCCGCCTGCGATTTCCTCGCAACGTATTTGACATCGCGTTTTCGTCCGAGATTTCTTTGCGACTTATTTGGCAATCGCGCTCTCGCTTGGCATCGGTGGTCGTCGTCGTCGTCGTCGTCGTCGTCGTTGTGAATGCCCTTGTCGATCGAGAATCGCTCGAAGGTCTTTCGAGCTCCGTGGTTTGACCTCGGGTTTCTCAAGGCCTCCTGCGGGGGCCCTCCCGAGGCTTCTCTGGGGACATCCGCGGGCCGCGAATGGAGACCGCCGTCGTCGATCGGCGTCGATCGTGTCGTTGTCGTCGTCGGTCGTCGGTCGTCGGTCGTCGGTTGTCTGTCGTTGGTCGTCGTCGTCGTCGTCGGTCGGTCGTCGGTCGTCGGTCGTCGGTCGTCGGTCGGTCGGTCGTCAGTCGGTCGGTCGGTCGGTGGATGGTCTGTCGTCCGTCGTCGTCGTCGTCGTCGTCGTCGTCGTCGTCGTCGTCGTCGTCGTCGTCGTCGTCGTCGTCGGTCGCCATCGCCGAGGCCGTCGTCCCTCGTCCCTCGTCCCTCGTCTTCGTCGTCGCCCACTCCATGTCCCTGGCCGCAAGGGAGGGCGGGGGGGAAGAGGGGGTCAGCCCAAAGGAAGGGTAGGAAATAAGGGGGGCGACATTTGCAAGAGCGCCCGCGCAGCGATGGGGATCAGAACAGGTGGGCCTCAGCTTCCAGCTGCCCCCCCACCCCTCCCTTGGAGAAGGGGATGGGGGTTCCAAGCTACCTCCCTCCCCCCGTTGGGTCGGAATTTTGTTGCAAGGGGGGGTCCCAGGTGAAAAAGGGGGCGGCTCTTGGAAACTACACCTCCGTCCTTTCCGGGGCGCGGGGCAAACCCGGGCTCCCACTTCCAAAGGGGGGGAGCTTCTGAAGCTACCCCCCACCATTCCGTTGTGTCTGGATTTGTAGCTGGGGGGTCCCTGGCCAAAAAAAGAGGGCTTGGAAACTGCCCCCTCTCCCCCTCTTCGGGGCCCAGGGTGAGCCCGGGCTCCCTTATCCAAACAGGAGAGGGGGGGCTTCCAAAGCTCCCCTCTCTTTTTTCTGTGGGCATTTCCAGTTGGAGGGCCCTGGCTGAAAAGGGGTGGCTTCGAAACTACCTTTCCCCTTTGGCTTTCGCCGCCCTTGTGGTTTTCAGCATTTCTTTGGTTTTTGGCGCGCCTTTGGTTTTCGGCACTCTTTTGGTGTTCGGCGCCCCTTTTTTGAGTTTCGGCGACTTTTTGTTGGGTTTTCGGCGCCTCTTTGGTTTTCGGCGCCTCTTCTGTTTTCGGCGCTTCTGCAGTTTTTTCGGTGCCTCTTCGGTTTTCGGCGCTCCTATGGTTTTGGGCGCCCTATTGGTGTTCGGCGGCCCTTTGATTTTTCGGCGCCCTTTTGTGTTCGACGCCCTCTTGGTGTTTGGCGCCTCGGTGGTTTTCGGCGCCCTTAGGGTATTCGGCGCTTCTTTCGTTTCTGGCGCCCCTTCGGTTTTCGGCGCCGTTTTCGGTGCTCCTTTGGTTTTCGGCGCCCTCTTTGGGTTGTCGGAGCTCCTTTGGTTTTCGGCACCCCTTTGGCTTTTGGCGCCGTTCTTGTTTTCGGCGGCTCTTTCGATTTCGGCGCCCTTCTGGTTTGGTGCTCAGCACCCTTGTGGTTTTCGGCGCCCTTTTGGTTTTCGCTGTCCTTCGGTTTTCGGCGTTCCTTAGGTTGTGGCGCCCCCTTTAGTTTTCGGCGCCCTTTTGCTTGTCGGCGCTCTTCGGTTTTCGGCGCTTCTTTGTTTTCGGCGCCCGCCCTGTTGGTTTTCGGCGCCCCTTCGGTTTTCGGTGCCCTTCTGGTTTTCGGCGCAGTTTTACCTCTCGGCGCTCCTTTGGTTTTTGGCGTCCCTCTGGTTTTTGGCGTCCCTTTTTGGTTTTTGGCGGATATTTGGCTTTCGGGGTCCAGTCGGTTTTCGGCGCCCTTTTGGTGTTCGGTGCTCCTGTGGTTTGTGGCGCCCTTTTGGTTTTCGGCGCCTCTTTGATTTTCGGCGCCTCTGTGATGTTTGGCGCTCCTTTGGTTATCGGGGCTCTCTTGGTGGTCGGAGCCTCTGTGGTTTTCGGCGTCCCTTTGGTCTTTGTTGCAGTTCTTTTTTTGTTCTGCGGTTTTGTGGTTTTCAGCGCTCTTTCGCTTCCAGCGCCTTTAGGTATTCGGTGCAGCGTTTGTTTTCGGCGCCTATTTTGTTTTCGGGGCCTCTTTGGTTTTCGGCGCCATTCTGGTTTTCGGCGTTCCTTTTGTTTTCGGCGCCTCTTTGGTTTTCGGCGCCTTTTGGGTTTTCGGCGCTCCTTTGGTTTTCGGCGCCTCTTCGGTGTTCGGCGCTTCTGTGGTTTTCGGTGCCCCTTTGGTTCGGCTCTCCTTCGGTTATTGACGCTCCTTTGTTTTTTTGCGCCTTTTTGTTGGTTTTCGGCGCCCTGCTTGGTTTTCGGAGCCCTTCTGTTTGTCAGCGCCAGTGTTTTTTTTTTCGCTCCTTTTGTTTTCCGCGACCCATGGGTTTTCTATGCAATCTTTGGTTTTTGGTGACCTGTTGGGTTTCGGCGCCCTTTCGGTTTTCGGCGTCTCTTTGGGTTTCGGCGCCCTTTGGGTTTTCGGCGCTCTTTGGGTTTTCGGTGCTCCTTTGGTTTTCGGCGCCTCTGTGGTTGTCGGTGCCCCTTTGGGTTTCGGCGCCCGTTTGATTTTTCGGTGTCTCTTTGGTTTTCGGTGCTCTTTTGGTTTTCGACGCCTTTTGATATTCGACGCCCATTCTGTTTTCGGCGCCCTTTTGGTTGTCGCCGCCCTTTTTGGATTTTCGTCGCCCCTCCTGTTTTCGGTGCTCTCTTAGTTTTCAGCTCTCTTGTTGTTTTCGGCGCCGTGTGGTTTTCGGCGCCCTTTCGGTTTTCGGCGCCCTTTCGGTTTTTGGCGTCTCGTTGGTTTTCGGCGCTACTTTGGTTTTCGTCGCTCTTTCGGTTCGGTGGCTCTTTGTTTTTTGGCGCTCTGTTGGCTTTCGGCGCGCTTGTTGAGTTTTCGGCGCCATTTCTTCAGCCAAAGGGGCGGGAAGGGGGGAGGGGGGGCTTCCAAGCCCTTTCCCTTTAGCCGAACAGGGGGGATGGGGGGGGGGGCGCTTCTGGCAGGAGGGGGTCTAGTGAGGGGGGGTAACTCAGCCCCCCCCCCTCAACTACTTTCGGAAAGTGGGGGCGAGCTTCTGGAGCGCGAAAAAGGGGAGGGGGGGTTGCTTCCGCGGAGCGGAAGAGAGGGGGGGAGGGAGGGGAGGGTCCAGCATGGGGGAGGGCAACGGCGAGGGGGGGTAGCTAAGCCCCCATCCTTGGAAGGGGGGGGCGGTGGGGGGCAGCTTCCGGAGCGCGAAAGGGAGGCGGGAGAGGGGGGGGATTCGGGCAGGGGATGTCCAAAGGGGGGGGTAGCTAAGGGAGGACCCCCCGACAGTTGGTGCTTACACATGGTTTGGACCCTGCCGCTGGGCACATTCCTTCCTCTCCTCCTTCCTCGTTGTCCTCTCCCAGAGCTCCTCCCTCGTCTCGTTATCCCGTTCGTCGGCCGTTCTTCTCTTCTTTCCCCCCCGTGCTAAGTACTCCTTTATCGGTCCCCCTTTTTTTGTTGCCCCCCTCTGTTTCTCTCTCTCTCTCTCCTTCCCGTTCTTGTCGGCTGGGAACTGACCGCGAATCACGCCCATCCTATTTCGAATCAGTGCATACGTAGCCTTCGATATTGTTCGCTGTTCAGGGGGCCACTGCGAATTCCAATGCTCCTATTCTCTCCTCCTTGGGCACGCGACGCAGGTGTTGCGAGCGTTCTCGGGCCACCCTCGGGCCGCCCCCCCCCCCCCCCCTTCGCCTGAGGCCACGCAAACGTGACGGACCTGCTTGCCCAGGAGGCGACGCCCGATGGGGCGGCTCGGACAAGCGGCGAGCTGTGACAGCGGCCGCGCAAAGTGAATCGAGAAACGCGCCCGTGCCCGCGCGGAGGTGGGGGGATTCAGTTGTTCCCAACCGTCCTCTGGTGTTTGGATCTTCGTTTTGAGGAGATAGCGCCTCTCCTCCTCTCCTCCTCCTCCTCCTCCTCCTCCTCCGCCTCCTCCTCCTCCTCCTCCTCCTCCTCCTCCCCTTCCTCCCCCTCCGTACTAGTGCTGCTTTCCGCATCAGTCTATCGACTCGGAATACCTCTCACCGTTTCGTGGCCTCACAGGGAGCTCCACAGAAGGCCCCAGCGGCAGGGTCCACATGCGTTTCCCCCACCCAGAACAGCTTTTCGTGGCCCATGGAGAGCTCCATCGCAGGCCCCAGTGGCAAAGTCCAGATGCGCCCCCCCTTCACCCAGTACAGCTTTTCGTGGCCTTCTAGGCCCCCCCTACCGAAGGCCCCAGTGGAAGTGTCCACATGCGCCCCCCCTCCCCGTCTAGTACAGCGCATCGTGGCCCAAGAGGGAACTCCTCTGAAGGCCGCAGTGGTAAACATGCGTTTCTCTAATCCAGCACAACGTTTCGCGGCCCGTAGGGAACCCCACCGATGGCCCCAGTGGCGAAGTCCACATGCGTCTCCCTCACCCAGTACAGCGCTTCGTGGCTCTACATGCGCTTGCGCCGAAGGCCCCAGTGGCAACGTCCACATGCGTCTCCCCCACTCAACACAGCGTTCCGTGGCCGATACGGAGCTCCACCGAAGGCCCCAGTGGCAACGTCCACATGCGTCTCCGCCACCCAGTACAGCGTTTCGTGGCCCACGGGCAGCTCAACCGGCGGCCCCAGTGGCAAAGCCCACAAGGGCCTCCCCAGCCCAGTGCAGCGTTTCGTGGCCTCGTAAGGATCTCCACCGAAGGCCCCAGCGGCGAAGTCCACCTGCGCCTCCCCCACCGGGCACAGCGCTTCGTGGCCCCCCATAGGGAGCTCAACCGAAGTCCCCAGTGGCAAAGTCCGCATGCGTCTCCGCCACCCCAGCACAGCTCTTCGTGGCCTAGGAAGCGCAACCGAAGGCCCCACTGGTACAGTACGCGTGCGTCTCCCTGCCCAGCACAGCGTTTGGTGGCCCAGGGAACCCGACCGAAGGCACCCCTGGAAGGGTCCACGTGCGCCCCACCCCCCACCAAGTACAGCGTTTCGTTGCCTATAGCGAGCTCCGTTGAAGGCCCCAGTGGCAACGTCCACATGCGTCTTCCCTACTCAACATAGCGTTTCGTGCCCCATCGGGCGCGCCACCGAAGGCCCCAGTGGCAAAGTTCGCATGCGTCCCTCCGACATAGCACAGCGATTTGTGGCCCATGGGGAGCTCAACCGACGGCCCCAGTGGCAAAGTCCACATGCGCCTCCCTCACCTGGCACAGCGTTTCGTGGCCATGTGGAGCTTCACGGAAAGCCCCAGTGTCAGGGTTTATATGCGTCTCCCCCTTACACACATTGCAGCGTTTCGCGGCCCATCGGGAGCTCCACCGAAGGCCCAAGTGGCGCAGCCCGCATGCGTCGCCCCCGCCCAGCACAGCGTTTCGTGGCCCATAGGGAGCGCCACCGAGGGCCCCAGTGGCAAAGTCCACATGCGCCTCGCCCATCCAGTGCAGCGTCTTGTGGCCCGATACCCACAACAGCAGTGTTCATAATTGCATATGGTTGGGTCCTTCGCCAGGCTGATTGTTGACTGGTTTTCCATATCATTATGTGGTGTTGGGTCCTCGTTTTGACAAGAGCACCCCGCGCCCTCTCCTTCTCCTCTCCTGCTCCCCCTCGTCCCCCTCCCTACTCTTGCCCTCTGCATCAGTCTACCAGTTCGGTACACATCTCACACGTTTCGTGTCCCCACAGGGAGCTCCACCGAAGGCCCCAGCGGCACCCGCCCTGAACATCGTTTCGTGACCCGTAGAGAGCTCCACCGAAGGCCCCAGTGGCAAAGTCCACATGCGTCTCCCTCACCCAGGGCAGCGTTTCGTGGCCCTGTCGGGACTCTCATGGACAATTCCACTTGGAGGGTCCACATGCGTTTCCCACCCACCACATCGTTCCGTGGCTCATACGGAGCTAGGCCCCAGTGGCAAAGTTCGCATGCGCCTCCCCCGCCCAGCACCGCGTTTCGTGGCCCACAGGGAGCTCCTTTGATAACCCCAGTGGCAAAGTCAGCATGCGTCTCCCCCATCCAGTACAACGTTTCGTGGCCCATAGGGAACTCCACCGAATGCCGCAATGTCAGGGTCCACGTGAGTCCCTCCAACCCAGCACAGCGTTTGCTTCCCATAGGGAGCTCCACCGAAGTGTCCTGTGGTAAAGTCCGCATGCGCCTCCCCGACTTGGCACAGCGTTTCGTGACCCATGGGAGCTCCATCGAAGGCTTCGTGCCCCCATAGGGAGCGCCACCGAAGGCCCCAGTGGCAGGGTCCACATGCGCTGCCCCACCGGGAGGGTCCACGTGCGTCTGCCCCACCCAGCATAGCGTTTCGTGGCCCCATAGGGAGCTTCACCGAATGCCCCAGTGGCAAAGTCCAGTGGAGTCTCCCCGCCAAATTTCGGCACATCACTCACAAGATTCGTGGCCCTATAGGGAACTCAACCGAAGGCCCTGGTGGGAGGGTCTACATGCGTCTCCCCCCCCCCCACACACACACTACAGCGCTTCGTGGCTCCATAGGGAGCTTCACCGAAGGCACCGGCGGCATGGTCTACATGCCTCTCTTCGCGACAGTTCGGGCCATTCCTCGCATGTTTCGTGGCCCACATAGGGAGGTCCACCGAAGGCCCCAGTGGGAGGGTCCACATGCATTTCCACCACCCAGTACGGGTACAGCGTTTCGCGGCCCCACAAGGAGCTTCACCGAAGGCCCCAGTGGCAGGGTCCACATGCATCTCCTCGCTCCATTTCGGCGCACTCCTCGAACGTTTCGTGGCCCCACAGGGAGGTCCACCGTCCACCGAAGGCCCCACTGGGAGGGCATCGGACGCTCCAACCCCTCGCGAAACGCCCCGTCCAGACCCAGGGGTAGGGGGTAGGGGGAGGGTAGGTAGCACCTGAGCCTGAGCGTGTTCAGCGGTCGTCTTTGGATGGACAGCTACTGGGAGCCAAAGCTGACCCCAGGTGCGCGACGCTTGGGCGAGGTGCGCCACGCGTGCCAGGGGCGCCACGGGCGCCACGGGCGCCACGCGCCCCTTGGGCCCGAGCGTGCCAGGCACGCCTAGTGCGCCAGATGCGCCACGTGCTCCGAGTGCGTCAGATGTGCCGCACACTCCAGCCGCGCCAGGTGTGCCACGTTCGGGGCACGTGCAGAGTGCGTTAGGTGCGCTTGCGCACGTGACAGTACACATCGGGAAACATGTCGGCCCCCACCATCCTCTTCGAAAGTCAATGCCCATTATTGTGTCTGGTGGGCCTGCGCACAGCAAGCCACGCGCCACCACCCCCGCGACCCCTGTCAAAAACCATTTGACAGTGATCGCAGGATGGCCGCGCATGATTCAGATTTAGCCGCGAGGTGCATGTCGCCTTGTTTTTGGTCAGGGATGGTAGCCCTGCGCGCAGCAGGGAATATGCTGATACCCCCGCCGTCCCTGTCAAAATCAATATGAAGTGATTGCGGGCCTCACGAACATGACTCAAGACTTTGCCCCGATGTGTACTTTATATTGTTTTTGTTTGACAGGGACGATGTTGGCCGCGCATGCTCCAAATGTGGAGGCAAGAGTGCGGTTTGTTTGGATTTTTGACACGGATGGTGGGGGGCGGGCCGCCATGCTGACCTCATGGTTCCTGGTTGGATGCCGGTCGCCTGTGGGAGGGGGTGTATATTAATAAGGAGCAGTGATAAATGCGTCCCCGGAAGGGAAGGAAGGGGGGTGGAAGAAGACTCGCCCTAAACCAATCACGCCCAGAGGACTAGTGGGATTCACGAATCGCTTCTCGGTGCTCTGGAACAGTGCTCTCTCGCTGGAGGTTCTTAATGTATGCAGGAAGCTTGCTATCGCCTGAGATTTCCTTGCCATCTTCTCTTGCTAATCCCTCTCGTCATTCATGTTTTTTTCTTCCTCTCTCTTGCCCCGTTCCCTCCTTCCTCCATCCCTCCACTCCCTTCCTCCTCGCTCTCTCCCTTCTCTATCATTTTCTTGTGTTTGAAGTACTGCGCAATTACACTTGGCAGGGAAGGAAGATGTGCCCCCCCCAAGGGGGCACGATGAAAGACGAAGTGGGCGGGTATCGAGGGTTCCGGATAGACATGTAGAACGACACGCGAGCGTCTGGAAGCGAGCAGTCTAAACATGATAGTTGTTGTTTTGGTTGAACTCTTTTGCTGGCGAAGAAGAAGGCGCTGTCGTCCGCCGCCGGAGCCATTCGCGGAGGTCCTGCAGCAGAAGTGGAGCGACCTGGACGCGGTGCTGAAGAACTGGGGGAAGGCGCCCTCGCCCTCTCCCCCTCGCCCCCTCACCTTCCCTCCTCCCCCTTCGCCCCGTCTCCTGCTGCTGGAAGCGTTGCCACCTCTTCCCTCCCCCCCTTCCCTCCTCCCCCCCCCCTGCTGTCGTCGTCGTCGTCGTCGTCGTCGTCGTTTTTTGTCGTTGCCTCGTTTTGCTTCTGTTGCGATGGTAAGTGTCAACAGGGCGACGGCTTACCCGCCGGTCCTCCTACGCTTCTGAGGGTGGTTCGAGGGTCAAGGATCCATGCTCAAGATTTCCGGGGCCTTTCTTGGCCGTTTTTGACCTCCAGTGGCGCCTCGTGGCCACAGCTGGACTCCTTCCGAAGATGTCGCCAAAGCGCACCGAATGACAGGTCCTTGCTTTTATCTGTTATCCCTGGGCCCAAGTTTCCTCGCGTCGTGAAACCATCCCGACGTTGTTGAATGATCATTTCTAAGGAGTACTTATGGTTGGTCCCTCTCCGGTGCTCACTCTGCTTTCACCAGTTCAAGTGCCCCCCTTGGTCCCCGAGGGCCCGCACCCCGTCTTATATTAAAGAAAGTATTGTGCCTCAGACTGCGCCCCTGGGTCTTGGTTTACAAATAACAGCGACTCTCTTCGAAATTTGTTATACATCGTTTTCTTCGCTGGGCACCTCCTCGCCATTTACTGAGGAAGCGCGCTCTCGATTAGGACTTCCGTGCAATTCACGAGGGCCTTGCGTTTTCGACGTCCAGGAATCGCACTCTCGCACGAGAGCTCCTCACGAGATGAATTTCGTGGCGTGGGCACGAGGTCTCGTGCTCTCGCGACGAAAGAAGTAGTTTCAATGCCCCGTCCGCCCGACCCGCCCGTTAGGGCCCGCCCGCCCGAACCGCCCGTCACGGTCCTCCCGCCCGACCCGCCTGTTAGGGTCCGCCCGTCTGCTTGCCTGGAAGCCCGCCTGGTTCAATGTCCCGCCCGGCCCGTCAGGGCTCGCCCGCCTGACCTGACCGTTGGGGCTCGCCCACCCGACCTGTCCGTGAGGGTTCGCCTGTTTGACCTCCCAGGGCTCGCACCTTGTTTTTTACAGCAGACAGTTTGCGCTTCAGCCTGCACCCCTGGCCTCCGAACTGCAACAACAACAGCTGCCGCCTGCTATTCCCCCACAACTTTTTCAACTCGCGCTCTTTTCTGGGACGTCCTCACAGTGTACGCAGGAATTGCGCTCTCGGTAGGGACATCCTCGCATTTTAGTCAGACGCCGCGCCCTCGGCACTCAGGAATCACGCTCTCGCCTTGGATTTCCTCACGATTTACTTGGGAATCGCGTTATTGCTCGAGACGTCCTCGCGATTCATGCCGTTCTGACGCTTCAGCGACCCGCCCGCTCGAACCTGCCGTCTGGGCAGCCCGCCCGACCCGCCCGCCTGTTAGGGTCCGCCCTCCCAGCCCGCCCGTCTAGTTCTGCCTCTTGCTTTTCTGTTCTTCATCCCCCTTCTGTGCTAATCTTTCTTGTCCTCTATCCTTGTCGTCCATCCTTCTCCATCCACTTCATCCCTTCCCTCCTCCCTCCTCTCGAGTATTTTAGTATCTGCGCCAACTACACGTGGCAGGTCAAGAAGATATAGCCCCAAGGGGGGTGCGATCGAAGACGAAGAAGACGGGTATCGAGGGTTTGGGATGTACATGTTTGACTGGCACGCGAACAGATAAAAGCTAACCTTTCAAGTTATGAAGCATTATGTATTAAACAGTTCTTATTGGTGGATCCCCTATATCCGCCTTGGCGCTCTCGCCTCGGCGCCGGCTGCGTTTTCTTTGGAAGTGAGGCTCACGCTCAACCGTTTCGGGGGTGCGCCAAGGCCGGCCCCCGACAACAACAGCAGCAACGCTCCCGTGCGATACGCCTTCGCAACTTATTTTGATAGGGCTTGGCCAGAGGGCCCGAACCTTAGGAACGGCGCTCTCGCCTGATACTTTTTGTTTCTTTTGCAATTTGGCACCACGAGCTGCACGCCGCTCAGAGTTCGCAATCGAGGCCTCTAGAGGAACATAATGGCCTGACACGAAGAACTAGGGGACCCACAGGCGGAGAGACACTAGCAACTCCACGCTGCTCCCGAGCAGGTTTTGCTGTCCTGCCAAGAAGGGGGGAGGAGGGGAGAAGCAGGCAGACAACGACGAACGCGCAGGCGAGAGGCTGGGGCCGGAGGGGCGGGAAATGAGGGGGAGGAAGACGAGGCCGAGGGGAGGGGAATCAGCCGCAATCAAACAGGCAGGGCCAGGGGCCGGGAGAAAAGAACCACCCGCGACGAAGCTGCGGACCCTACGGCGGCGAACTGCGCGGGGCGGCCGACCGAACCCAGCACGCTGCGGCTTGGTGGTGGGGCCCTTTGCGGGATCACCCGCCTTCCTGCCGAGGAAGGGCCGGACCGCGCGTGTGACGGGTCGCCAGCGCGACGTTGGCGAAAGGGCGCGCGGGGGCGTCCCTGCTGCCCAGCAAGGGTGGTGGGGGGGGGGGCGGGGAGCCGTAGGCAAAGCCAGAGGGGACCTCACACGGCGTCCGCCGTGGAGGCAGCGGTGGCCACGGCCAGGCGGGCCCCTCCAGAGTGCGCCTGGGAGCACCGCAACACCGCCCGCGCGCGCTCTCCCTACGCGGGGAGACGGTAAGTCGCTGGGCGTGTTGGTTCGAAACAAGTGCGGCGCCTTCCCCGGTGGCGTGGGCCACTTGCTTGGCTAGGGCCCCGAAGGCCTTGCGTGCCTCGCGGCCCCACCCGCCGCCGTGGGCTTCGTCCGAAGGTCTTTCAGAGCAGAGCAGTCTTGCCGCTACGTGCAGATGTCGGAACGGCCGGTCCGCCTGAAACTCTCGCAACTGAATTAGCAACGCAGGGGGTCTTTGATTACCAGTTTGCTGCTAATCGCGGATGCCAGAAGGGCCGTTCACTGTGCATGTTAACACCAGATGGGGGGCTCTTCAGAACTATTCGCGGATGCCGGAACGGCCATTTCGTTGGAGGCCACGCAGCTATTCAGCAGCGCGAGCGACTCCGTCAGAACGGTCTTGCCGCTATTTGCGGAGGTTCTAGGAGGTTCTAGGTCGCTGCAGGACTGGTGTTCCGAACGCGTTTTTTCGTCCCTCTCGCCCTTGGGGGGGCCCGAGAGACCCCTGGAGGAATGTGCCTGTATTGGCATATGCGTTCGCGGAACGATTTTCGCTTTTTGCTCCCAGGAGGCCCCAGCATACTAACACATGGTTCCATATTGGGACATGTGTTCGGCGAGCGTTTTTCGGCCCTCCTGCTTCCAGGGGTGCTCAAGAGTCTCTGGACGCATTTTCGGAAAAGGAGTTTCGGCCCACGGGGGTTCCAAACAACCCCAGGAGACACTTCTCGGTATTGGGATGTGTGTTCGGGGAGCTCTTCTCGCCCCCACGTAGGTTTTGGCCCACAGGTTTCGCCCCCAGAAGTTTTACAGCTCTTGTCGTGGGGCTCGAATTCTTTGTGTGTTAACGCGTGTTCCTATGCATTGTCGTTTTCGCGGGGTTCGAATGTTTGATCTTCTCCGTGTGCACTTATATACTTCCGGCTTTCGTGTTTCACGCATGTTCCTATAATTTGCCCCGCTCCTTGGGCTCGAGTTGTTTGTGTGTGTGTGTGTGTGTGTTCACGTCTGTTCCTTTAGATCGCCACCTTCCTGGGGCTCGAATCCTTTTTGTGTTTTGAACCCTCGCGGCTTCCCAGGAAGTCGCACTGTTTTTGTTGGTCATGTTTCGTGCGAGCTGAAAGTGGAAGCGTGCCTCGGGAGAGGTGTTGGCCCGACTTTCATGGGCGGGAATCTATGTGGGAATCGCAGGGCCTTTTTTTTATATAGTTCCCCCGAGAGGGGGTGCCATCATGATGGATGCATGTGTCACATAGAAACATGGCGCAAGAGTGTCAAGTCATTCACGGCCCCGCGTCCCGGGCACTCTGCAGGAAGGCGGCGCCCCCCCCTCCACCCCCGCCCAGTCCCGTGCAGCCTGGCCCCCCCGCGCCCCCTCAGGGGGAACGGGGTGGGGCGACAGTTTGGCTGGGATCTGTCACGGCGTCGGACCTCGGGCGCGGTACCTTCCCCCCAGGCATAGTCGTCATCGTGGTCAACCTCGTCGTCTCGCCAGCCTCCTCTCTTCCTCGTTTTTCTCCTTTTACTGCCCCTTCCTCCTCCTCCTCCTCCTCCTCCTTTTCCCTCCCCCCTTCTCTTGCCCCTCTCTCCTCCTCGATGTCGTCGTGTTCGTCGTCTTTGTCGTCGTCCTAGCCGTCGTCGTCGTCGTCTTCCTCTTCCTCCTTGTCCTCCACTCCCTCCTTCTTTCTGACGTTGAGCGGACATGAGGCATGGCCCTTTCGTTCACGCCGCAAACATCGCCGAATTAGGCGAAGTAGCAAACACACCAAGCTGAGACATGCCGGAAGGCGACAGAGGAATGCAACAGAAAGAGGCCTGCAGGGGCACAGAGTATGCGCACGCCACTCAACACGAGAGGATAGAAGGGCGACGAAGAAACCGACATCGAAATTCATAACATATTAAGGACAATTACCGAGCGAGGGAGGTCGAAATTCACGTTCAAGCTGGCCTGCTAAATGCTGGGGTGTATCGTCCTACCCGGGTTGCAGCTTAAGGTAGCTGAGGCTGGTACAGTTTGGGAGGAGACCCCTACCCCACTCGATATCCCAACCTCTCCACAAACTCCTCCCCAACCCACCACAGTAGGTGAAGGAATGCAGGAAAACAGCAGGTGCATGCTGCAGGCTCGTCCTCCTCCTCCTTCTCCTCCTCCTCCTCTCCCCTCCTGTTCGCTTTCGGAGACCTCTGGAGATCTTTGGGAGGCCCCCTGAAGACCAGGACGGGCCAGAGACGCCCGAGGAGCCTCGATCGTGATCCCTCCTCACGGTGTCGATGGCCTTCTTGGTCGTCGGCCGATCGTCGATCGGCGTTGGTCGATCGCGCCGAGCGCTCCCAGCACGATGGCTGGGCTCTACGTTGGCGAACGACACGGGCGACCTGTCCTGGGGAGGCGCGCGCCCGTCCCCCCGCCTTGCCAGACGGACGGGCGCGCGGTCAAGAGGTCGGACTTGCAGGACGCGATGAGGAGGTTCGGGGCGCCGCCTCGTGGGGGGGGCGAGGAGGGGAGTGGGGGCGAACTGGAGTACGATGCGAGGAAACATGACAAGACGAGGGGCGCTCGTGCAAATCTGGGCAAGCTAGGTGCGCTCGAGTCAAATCTGACGTCCTACCCCTCCCTCTAATCTCTTAGCATGGCGTCGATCTCCTCTCAATTCGCACAGTCGGATGTCGTAGCAGGGCATGCCATTACATGCCATTACATTGCATAGCCTGATATAGCATGGCGTGGCGACTCCCCAAAGCGGGGAGGGCTTCTGCGGCCCCCAAAATCAACGAATCGATACCGAATGTGTAACCACTTCCGATCATTGTTTCGGGGGAGCATTTTCCAGATTTGGGGGCCTATTTGGAAGGACCAAAAACCATGCCGTGGCATGGCGCTGGAAATAACGACGCCAGCGCTGCAGCGGGAGCACGATTCGGAACGGGCGGTAGCCGAAAATGAGGCCAACGCTTCAGCGAGAAAAGCATTTCGAAGCAAAAGCCCAAGCGGAAACCCAACTCCTGGGAATCTTGTGTGTTAAAAACCAAAACGCGGAGGGAGGCCAGACATTTACCGGGACGTCACCAGCGGATAGAGGAAAGTAGTATTCATATGATGTAATTGTCAATGAGCGGCCGGGGATCGAGGATTGCAAGGGAGTGGCCTCAGAGGGGCCGCAAACGGCCCTCAAACCGCGCAGCCGCGGGCCCAGAAGGCGATAGAACGGGGCGCTTTTCGTTACCCCCTCTTGTTTCTCACGGGCAACGTCACGTCAGGGTGGATAGGCTGAGGAACGGATGCGTCGACCCCCAGTCGCCTCTTTATTGTCGACAGGGGGTAGCCCTCCCCGCCCAGCAACTTGTGGATCCGTCATCGGGGGCATATCGCCGATTCCAGCTCGATGTCTCCTCCCTCTGAGCCAGTCCCTCCCTATCGTTGCCCATCATCTGGCGGGGGGGAGGAAAGCGGGGAAGAGAGGACGAGCTGAAGAAAAACAAAATGGCGTGACCGAAAACTGTCGGAGGCCCGCGCTGACTTTTTGGATCTGTGCTGGGCTCCCATGAAGGCTCGGGCGCCCATGGGGGCGGGAGCAGGAAGGGTTGGAAAAAGGAGGACGAGGCGGCAAGAAATAATACAAGCACAACGACATACACTCTCGCAGATTTCTTGCATTTGAGCTGGGCTCCCATGGAGGCTGCGGCGCCCCCACCGCCATGGGGCGCGCTCCGCGCGCTAGGGGGGGGCTGAGCGCCGACCTAAGAGATTTGCGCGGGCCTCCCAAAGTGAACGTTGATGCAGTTTTTCCTTATTAGGCCGTCTTGGGCGGTCGGAAGCCCAAGAGGGCGCGAACGCTCAGGACCTTCACACACAGAGCAATAAGACATTCACGATTTTGGCCTCCCTTGTTTCTCTTGGCGGTGCTACTGGGGCTCCCGTGGGCCGTCTTGAGACCATCTTGGCTTGCGCCTGTCGAGGGTCGTCTGGATTTGTGCTGAGCGCATTTTGAAACCAACGTGGCCATCTTGGAGGCCTCTTGGCCCGTCTTGGGCCCATCGTGGCGCCCTGGCAGGTGGATGGACGCCCCAGGTGACCCCCGGTTGGGGGGTCGTCCGAAGCCGGGGGGAGGTCGAATGTGCAGTTTGGACACCCAGGGGGGGCAATCCGATGGGGGGACACTAGATATATCTCACACGCCTGGAAACCCACAAGGTGTCGGCGGAGATAGGAGACATAGCACTTGGGCTCTATGCCTGGAGCGAAACGGTGGTTTGGACATCCCGACTCGGAGCCCAATGATCGCAGCCTCGTAGCAGGCGTAACATTTGGGCACCTCAAGTGGGAGCCGCCAGGGGTTGTCAGTTACACTTGCCCGCCCGCGCCCAGCCCCAAGATCATTCCGAAGTAGCAGGCGCAAGGCTTCGGCACTCGATGCGAAGACGCCAGGGCGCGCTCTGTCGCCGCAGGCTAAGACGTTTTGACTCAGACACTCACAGCGGGAAGTGCCACGAGATGGGATGCAGACTTTCTCTCGTTTATTTTCGCAACTTGGAACTCCAGAGATCACGACCCCTGGAGATGGGAAAAAAGAGCCCCCTGAGGCCGAGCATTGTTATTCAAAACGCCCGTCGTGTTTTATTTCCACGACGAGATGGAGTCCTGGCCTCTTTTTTCTTTTCTAAATCCTGGCCTGGAACCTCTGCCTTCGACCCGCCCACCGAAAGTCGGCTCCAGGCCCCGTGGCAGGGGTGCGCCCCCTCCGCGAGAAGTTCGCCAGGAATCCCGCCTTGGCGACGAGAGCGCCCCAGGACGCGCCGCATAACGACGAACAACCTGCTCGGATACCTCGGAACGCATACAGGCTCGGAGGCCTGGGGCCCCGTGCGGGAGTGCTGGGGTACCTGCAGTGGCTGCGCCCGCAGCAGGGCAGAGCATATCCCCTTGCTGCCCTACGGGCGGTCACCTCCGCCGCCACAGTCGCCGCCGGTGCCGACGCCGTCGCCGTCGCCTCCGCAGCCGTCGCCGTCGCCGCCGCAGCCGCCGCCGTGGTCGCTGCTGCCGCCGCCGCCGCCGCCGCCGCCGCCGCCGCCGCCGCCGTCGTCGTCGCCGTCGTCGTCGTCGTCGTCGTCGTCGTCGTCGTCGTCGTCGTCGTCGTCGTCGTCGCTGTCGGCGGCTGCAGCGGCGGTGGCGGCGGCCGCGCCAGGTTGGACGCTGCCTGGGCGAGTTCCCGGGGGGGCCCGCACCAAAGGGGCGGGCGGGGGGCCCGCCCTCCGCCGCCTTGGCCGCCGCCGTCGCCCGCCCGCTGCGGGCTCGCATTTGGCGCTGGCGCGGCGCCGCGGCGGCGGCGCCAGTCGCTCACAACCGGTCCACAAGTGCGATCCTGAAGCATTTCTTGCTTCAGTGCCCAGCCGTGGCCATGAGGTCGCCCCCCAGTGTAGGACCAGATAGTGCGAAATAACGGGGGGGCCGGCGGACGACGACCAGGGACCTGTCCCGGGGCGCGCTCCGACCGCACTTTCGAGACTGAGCAAGCCATGGCCACAAGGGCGACGCCAGAGGCCCGAGAATACCCCTACGTGGCAACAAATCTCTGCGACCACTTGTGAGCCTTACCCCTGCGGGTCCAGTGGGCGCTGGGGTATCAGACACCCCCGCTGGGGTTCACCAGGCTGTAGACATCCCTGGGAGTTCTGAGCCTTCGCCGAAATTTCAGGCGTCTGACCTGCAGGAGTGGGGTTCACATGCGGTTGCCTACTTGCCTCCATCCGCTCTCGCAGGCCAGGGTACTGTCCGAAGCCCTTCGACATCTGCCGTCAGCCCTCGCTGCCTATCTTTCTCGCTGGCCTCCGCAGCCTGGACGATTCCTCAGATGCGGCTGGATCGTGCCGCATGGCCGACGCATCGGCGATACGTCTCGTCCACGCCGACGCAGCGGCGATGATCTTTACAGATGGTGGAGCAGACACAGCTGCTACTTTCATTGTTCCGCGTCACGACCTTCTCTTGCCTCCTGGCTTCGTGTTCTGCGTAGGTAATATCGTTGGCCGTTTGGGATTCGTGGGATATTCGGATGCGGCAAGACCATGTCCCTCTTTCAGGCCACCGTTCACTGCATGAGCTTAACCTATCGCAGGTCGGCTCGCGTCTGGATCCAGATTTTTCTGGGGACATTTGATTCCCGCAGCGGTTGAGGCCGGGCAGTGTGAAGTGATGGTCGCGTGCCTTCGTCCGTTTCCTTCCCACCACAACAGCAACAGTGGCGCCAGTGCAGCGTGACTGTTCACAACCTGAAGGCCCCGCATGGGGTGCTGGCGGATCCACATCTGCCACCTCGGAAACCGACTGTAAGAACGCCAGGAGGCAGTGGATGTGGATATTTGGCCTCCATGGCGGTCGAGAATACTAAATATCCGCTCCCTCCTGGGACCATCGGAGATCGGGTCCTGAAGTGGTACATACTGTGGACGCGGCAGGCGCGCGCCGTGCTGAGGCGGTCACGCCTGCGCGGACGTCAAGGTTGAACGCCGCCAATGACTCGCTGAACATTGATCAGCACTATAGGAAAGGCGCGATGGCTCCTCGCTGAGCCATCCATTGTTACGTAAAACTGTCGGAACGGGGGTCAGCCCTGACGGGTCAGCTGGCTCCCGTCGATCCCCTCCAGCCGGCCAGGGTTTGACCCGGGGGTCAGCCCATTTGGGATTATGGAGTCAATGTAAAGAGGACGCGCCCTCCCCTCCCTTACTGACCCGGGTTTGGGAGCTGCTGTGGTGCCGGCTGGGGTTCACGACATCGCCCTGTCTGTTTGACCCGGGTCTACGCTGACCTTGGTCACCGCGTCTTCAGACCTTGCCGCGAGTGCTGCCGAACGGTTGGAAGAAGGACGATAGAGGGAGAAGGGAAGAGGAGGCAGGGAAGAGGAGGGAAGGAGGGGCAAGGGCCGGAGAGGGAAAGGATGTAGGTGAGAGGAGGGATGAGCAGGAGGTGTGGAGATTTTCGGGCTCCAGGGAACATCCCCGAAACAATCCAGGACGAGGAGCTGGTCTTGTAACAGGCTGAGAGGGCGCGAACGGGCCTTATGTTGGACTATCCGAAGTTCGGAAAAGTGTGAGGCCAATGTTTGTACGAAGTTCAATTTCAACGTTGCTGGAATCCTGAAGTTCTGGAACAGTTCGGAACAAGTTCGGCGACGAGAAACAAGTTCGGAAACAAGCTCTGCGGCGAGAAACAAGTTCGGAAGCAGCTCAGATAGCTCTCGGCGGCGAGAAAAGAGTTTGAACAAATTCAAAAGTTCAAACCAGTCCAAACAAATTTTGAAACGTTCATAGTTCAAAAATAGCAGTTCGCACAAGCTCAAAAACGTTTCAACAAAGTGAGAAAAATCCAGAGTTCAAAGAGTTCAAAGTTTCAGAAAAGTCTGGGTGCAGTTAGGCAAAAGTCGTCGTTGTGCCAGGGGGCCGTCTTGAACTTATTTCAAACTTTAGGTTCTTGGAGGTTTCGAGCTCGAACTTTTGATTTCCCTTTGAACGAACCCAAACCCGAACTTAAGTTATTTCTCAGGAACAGCCATCTCTCCCCCCATCAGCCAGTTTCAAAGCTGGCCCTGTCGAAGGATCCTCTCTGGCCGACCAGGGGTTGGGCGCCATGTGGAGCCGACACGTCTTCCCGCCGTCTTCGTCCCTTCGCTGACCTGGGCTTGGAATCTGCTTCCCGGCTGGCCCTGGGTTTGGGAGCTACTTCGTGGATGGCCCTGACTGGCCCGGGCAAACGTTGTCGGCGCGTTCGTCGGGGATCGGTTGTTTAACCAGCGCTGGCGCTGAGGCGCCGCCGAGCCGCCCACCTGTGGATCTGCCTCGGGGCCAGCCGCTCCGGCTCGGTTGCTCAGCACGTTCATGGGCCTTGCACTCTCACCCCGCACCATTGCTAAATAGTGGCTCACGCTTAGGCTGTAGGTTCAGGCAATATTTTGTGATGGTATTTCGCCAAACGCCGAGTTCTTCAATGATGGCCTTCGGCGTGTGGAACATTACAATTTCTCTCATATGATCTGGGGGATCCCACCCTCCTCCGTGCAAGCAGACTTTGCAGGACCCCAAGAGCATTAGTTAAAGAAGATTCACCCCGAGACCCCGGCGTGACAGCACTTCCTCCTCCATCTTGGAGGCTCTTGCTCTTTCTACGCGTCCCTGGAGAAATCCATGCTGCATGAGGCACAGTGTGAGAACGATGAAGGACCTATTGAAAGAACTGCCGTCAGCTTTAGGCTTCAGGCGGAAGATGGGTAGGAGGTGGAGGAGGAGGATCCATTACTCCTCCTGCCTCATCCTGGTTCCTCCTCGCCCTCGGATGTGATAATGATGCGTGGGGAAGAGGATGTGGTGGTGACGAACGATTCTGCGTTTTGGACTCTTGCCCTCGGAAGGGCTTCAGCACAGTACAAGCACGGCATGCCTCTCTCTACACGCCCCTCGGCGCGAGGACCGAGCTTCGCCTCGGGCCTCACGCCGCACTCCCGTGGCCGGATGGGCCGCCGCCCAAGCCCCGCAGGCTGCGCACCTGCGCACCTGCGCACTGGCAACCCGCACGCAGGTCTCGGCCTCTGGCGGCCCGCAGTGCGAGCCTGGGACGGCCGCCTGCGGATCGCAGGCCAGCCCTGGCCATGCATCCGACCATCTCCTCCTGAGCCCAACGTCGGGCCAGACGAAGGGGGGGGGATCGGGAACGGGGGGGTTACGAAGTCTGCTGCATGGAGCTGGTTCCGGCCCCACCGAGGGGCCCATTCCTCGATACATGGCCGCCTCCGGCGCCGGGAGGCGCCGGGAAGATCAGCTACGTGAGCTGATTCTCAAATCCCCCCTTTGCTATCCCCGCTTTCGCCCAGCCCGAACATGCTTCGTCCCCATGTCGGCGAAGTTCTCGGTACCCTTGGTCTTGTCGTTCCGGAGCTGCTTGTCAGCGACAGCTTTCTGTACCCACGAAGCGTGGGTGTGAAGGTGACGTGCTCGACCAACTTCCATCCTAGACGCTACGCCCTTAGAGGCGGCGGCGTCCACCGCTTGATCTTGACAGCCAGGTCCCTCGCCATGGCTGACCCTCCCAGAGCTCGGGAGGCCGACTTCGTCGGTGCATAGAACTCGGTCTCGCGCGAGCTAGTGGCGATCACGTTTTGGGTGGTGCTGCTGCTGCACAGCAGATGGCCGCCATACATCATGTATGACGAGCTCTTACTCCGCCGTGTTCAGACGCGGACTGATTCTTATGATGATGATTATTCAATGATGGTGATGACGATGATGATGGTGATTGCGATGATGATGGTGATGATGATGCTGATGATGATGATTGTTGTGGTGATTGTGGTTATGCTGATACTGTTGATGCTGCTGATGCTGGTGATGTTAATGATGCTGATGCATCTGTTGATGGTGATGATGATTCTGATTATACTGATGATGATGACGATGATGACGACGATGATGATGTTGATGATAATAGTGGTGATGATGATAATGATGGTGGTGTTGGTCGTGGTGATGATGATGATGATGATACTGATGCTGATTATGCTGATGGTGACGATTAGGATGATGATGCTGATGCTGATGGTCATGGTGATGGTGATGATGCTGATGATGGTGGTGGTGATGATGCTGATGATGCTGCTGCTGATGATGCTGATGGTGAGGATGATGATGATGCTGATGATGCCGATGATGATGCTGATGATGATGATGATGCTGATGATTGTGATGCTGATGGTGATGATGATGATGATGATGATGATGATGGTGATGATGATGATGATGATGATGGTGACACTGGTGGTGATGATGACGACGATGATTATGATGATGATGATGATGATGATGATGATGATGATGATGATGATGATGCTGTTGATGATGATGACGACGACGATAATGAGGATGCTGATGCTGCTGATGATGATGCTGTTGTTGGTCTTGTTGATATAACGATGCGGAAGGAACTAGTTGCCAAGGCTTTGAGGAGAAGTACATCCGCGAGCTCATCGACATCGAGGAGAAAGCTCGCAGGCTGGTCGTGCAGGCGCGCGGGGAGTGGACCTTCGGCTTAAGAGGTGGAGGAGGTGGAGGAGCTCGCTCTGCTGGTCGGTTCAGGGCCCCCTTGCTGGCCAAACGGTTGGAGGGCGATTCCGCGCGATGCGTGCGCACGGCTGTAGCACCCGGAGGCCGCCGCCGTTGGCTGTCCCTCCCTGGGCCTGGCTGTCACTCGGATACCGCGGTCCTCGCAGCTCCCTTCATTGGCCATTGGGCAGAGGCGCGGGATGAGGAGTAAGGTTGTCGAGAATGATTGCGGGGTATGGTGTGCAAAAAGCTCCATGGAATTCTGAGAGGGGCGGGGTTGCTCAGAATCCCCGGATCAGGTCAGCCCCAGGAGCCCAGCCGATCTCGTGCCCAGGACGGCTTTGGCCAGTAAGCAGGTGTACGGTCGGCATCCTCCTCCACCCGCACCTGTAGGCGTCCTTCCCGACTGTCCCTGTCTGTTTGCCTTCATAGTCAGCGTGATGACACTCGCCAGCTACATGCTTCGCCCGTACCCGCCCCCGCCTACCCCCTCCCAGCGCGACCAGGGCACCGCCAGCGACGGCGCTGCCCTGAGCGCCGCCGCCACCGTCGCCGCCGCCGTCCGTGGCCGCCACCTCCATTGCCGCTCCGCCGCCGCCGCCGCCGCCGCCGCCGCCGCCGCAGCCGCCGCCGCCGCCGCCGCCGCAGCCGCCGTCGTCGTCGTCGTCGTCGTCGTCGTCGTCGTCGTCGTCGTCGTCGTCGTCGTCCGATTAGCAGCTGGTTGAAGGTGGTTTCCGGACTCCTTCGGGGTCCCATTCTGGCCAGTTTTCCAAGCTGCGCGCAGCCACAGGGACGAGAACCCCCAGAGGCGCCCCCGAAACTTCCGAAGCAACGAGGTCGTCGCTGACGTCTTCTTTCGCCCTCGTCCGTCGCCGCTGCCGCCGACGCCGGTCCCGAAGATCCGACGTCGCGAACATATCGCCGCATCGTGAAATGAAAATATCGACCCCATGCCTTTGTGGCGTCTCGCGAGGCGGATCGAGCAGCGATAGGCCGGGGGCACGAAGACAGGCAAAAAACACCTGGCGTGAGAAAGTGGGTCTGTCGTCGGATCTCAGGAGACACCGATGCCGACGGCGCCGACGGCGACGCCGACGCCGACGGCGCTGGCCATGGCCGAGAGGGGCTGAGGCTCGGATCTCAGGGTCGCCACCGACGTTGCCGGTTGGCCATAGATCGGAGGGGAGACGTAATTCCAACGACACGCTGCCGTTGGTAGCCCGCGTGCTACTCCTTCGTCTTTGTTTCTCAACAGCAGCACGCGGATGGGTTCCCCACGGCGGCGTGTGAGTAGTATGGAGCGCCGCTCGCTGTAGCCACAGGCGTCGCGCGGCAGCGGCCGGTTCCAGAGAGGGCCAGCGCCGCAGGCCATACAGCACGAACACGCGCTGCGGCGCCTTGAGAGTGGCAGCGGCGCCAGCGGCAGCAGCCGCGAGGCGCACGCGCGCCCGCCGCTCGCCGACCGCGCGCCGCCGTCGTTCGCGGTCGTCGTCGGTCGGCGGTCGTCGTCGTCGCTTTCCGTCGGTCGCTCGTCGTCGGTCTTCGTCGCTTGTCGTCGGTCGTCGTCGGTCGTCGGTCGTCGTCGGTCTTCGTCGGTCGTCTGCCGACGTCGACGTCGCCTTCCGTCCGCGTGCGTTCGTCGCCTTTCGCGCGCACGCGCGCTCGTCGCCTTCGCGGGCTGATGGTCGAGGCTCTTCTGGGCGTTTTTCGGTCCGTCGTGGGGGCCCTCACACCCACACAGCCGCACACATATATACGCACGCGCATGGTAGACCAGCACGGCAGACTACAGCAGCAAGGCAGACCAGCACCGCAGACCAGCATGGCAAACCCAGCACGGCATACCACAGCAGCACGCCAGACAAGTACGGGAGACCACAGCAGCACAGCAGACCGCTCTAAGCTCGCATCCTTAAGCCAGCGTGGCTACGGATCGTTGTTTGATTCTTGTTCATCACTCGCTGTTGGTGCCTTCTGCTTGTGAGCTTCCCGTTGCTGCTGTTGCTTGTATGTCCATGGGATCCGGACGAAATACATAGGATCTCTTAAGACATCCATCGGAATCCTCACGACATCCATGGGATTCCGTAGGAAATCCATGACATTCCGTAGGAAGTCAATTGCATTCCTTAGGACATCTATTCGAGTCTTTCGGAAATGCATATGAGGCCTTAGGACGTCCATAGGAGTCTTTAGGGCAACCGTTGGGTTCCGTAGGAAATCCATAGGTTTCCATAGGACATCTAAAGGCTTCCGTCGGAAATCCATAGGATTCTTTCTGACATCCATCGGATTCCTGAGGACATCCATAGGATTCCATAATCAATCCATAGGATTCCTGAGGACATCCTTGGGATTCCTCCGGAAATCTATAGGAATCCGGAGGAGATACATCGGTTTTCTGAGGGCTTCAGAAGAATTCCTCAGTGCATCCATGGGTTTCCTTAGGAAATCCATAGGAGTCCTTAGGCCATTTAAATGAGTCCTTAGCGAATCCATGGGATTCCTTCGGACATCCATCGGATTCCTGAGGACATGTACAGGAATCTTCGGACGTCCATGCGATCCCGGAGGAAATCCATTGGATCACGTAGGAAATCCATAGGATCCCTTTTTGGAAACCCGTGGGGTTCCTGTGGACATTTTTAGGAATCTTTAGGACATGCGTAGGAATCCTTAGAACAGCAATGAGATCCCTCAAGAAATCCCGCGAGAAATCTATGTGAATCCATGTGGAATCCATGGGGTTCCTTAGGATATCCACCGGATTCCTTAGACAATCCATGGATCCCTTAGGACATCGATAGGATTCCGGAGGACACCCAAAGGATCCCGTCGGAAATCCTTAGGATCCCAGACGGAAACCATCGACACACAATAGGATTCCTTAGGGAATCCAGAAGACCATATTTGTGTAACACGCATTGATTCGAGACCTAAGGCATTTTTATGTGCTTGCTGTTGGTGTGCTGTTTTCTGTTTGTTGTTTGATGTCGTTGTTGCTGCTGTTGTTGTTTGCTGTTCCTCTTTCTGCTCCTCCTCATCCTCCTCATCCTCCTCCTCGTGCTCTTCCGTAGCCATTTTGGCTCAAGGGGCCTTCTCCTGAATTTCCCAACCTGGCTCGAGGCTCCTGGTGGCCAGGCACCAAGGGCGGGCCGCGGTCGCGCTCCACCTGCCTGCGGCGGCCGATCTCCTCGGCACCCGCTTCCGCTCCTTCCGCCTCCTCCATGGAGGCTGCGCGCCAAGCAATGTCCAATGGAGTGATGGAACCCATGCCGGTCTCAATTGCGAGCAGTGAAAAAAAAGGTTGTGCCACCCCGTGCACCCCGCCTGCGCCCACAGGTACAGATGAGAAGTGTGACTCCAGCCTGATGCCGGCACTGAGAGAGCTGATTTCCCCAGTGTCGCGCAGCGTTGATTCCCTCGGGGCACAGTTGAACCTCGGTATCCAGGATATCAACAGAGGAATCCAGGGGGAGATGTTGCAAGCTGAGAAAAACTTCCAGATGCTCCAGTGTCCGCCCATGCAGACCTGGCTAAGGCTCTTCGTGAGAACTTTGAGAGTATCCGTTTGATCCAGGAGCAAGCTCTCCAGCAGGCCATCCAGGACCGTGAGATCGCAGAGGGTAAGATCATGGAGGATGTGAAAGGGGATGATCCAGGGGATGAAGGATGAGATAGCGGCGATGAATGGGGAGTACGGCAGGGAGCTCGCTCGGTGGAACTGCCACCCCAGACGGTAGATTCACTCGACGTCGTGTCGACGTCGGCGGTATCGGCAACCCCTCCCGGCTCGTAGTGCTCGGCTTCAAGCGTGTCCTGATGGAGAACGCTCTTCGGCTTGCTGTTGGCCCGATTCTGGACAAGGGTGTTACGCAGGAAGAGCGTTCGGGGATCCAGGTCAAGGCGTTCAAGTGCAGTGAGAAGGTATTTCTCGTTTTTCCGTGCACTCTCCTGGCGTCGGCCTTCCATGCGAAAGCAGCTGCTCTTTGCTCCTTCAAGTTCCCGAACCCCTGGGGTGGTGTTTTTTTCAAGCTCAGGATCAGGCGTGACCTCCCCTAGATCTTTCGGAAGCTGTTCTACTACCTTGGGAATATGCGTCAGCGCGTGGCTGACATCTTGGGGCATGAGCGCACAGGTTCCGCGGGGCTTGGGGGCGCCATCTATGTTCTGAAAAACGGATCGATTCCAGTTCAGGTTGTCAAGCGCACGATTGCTGATGACGGGCCCAGTGTAGGAAGTGCCGCCATGTCTGTTGACCTCGAAGGCCTGGATGAGATCGGAGGGGCACAGCACGCGCCATGCCTACATACTCGTTTCTCTCAGATAAGGCCTTTTCGGTAAGTAGCACAGCTGCGTGGAGAGCCAGGGCTACGGGGGGTGCAATCCAGACGCTTCAGGTTCAGATGTTACGGCGGAGCCCCTGGCTTCAGACTGCAGCTCTAGTGCTAATTCGTATGACACAGTGTCACAATTTCCTGCACCGCTTGACGGGGGCGCGGGTGGATTATATCGTCTTTTTCCGTCCTCTGTCTCTTTGTTCTTGGAACGCGCGTGCTCTCTTTGCTTATATCTCGTCTGCCTCTCTGAGAGCGAGTTCACGTTTTTGTCATGCTGAGAAGTTGCTTGATCGTTACCAGGTTGCGTGTTTCCAGGAAGCCCGCGGATCAGGGGCTGACCTTGCGATTCTCCGCGATGAGCTTCGCACAGGTATAGTGTTTGGGAGCTCCATTGAGGGAAGTGCTGCTGGTGTGGTTGTCACTTATATCTCGTAGGAGCTGCGAGAGTGCTTTCAGGAAGTGAAGGGGCGCGTTGTGATCGAGGGCAGGGTATTGCTTGTCATGTGCACGGGCGATGCGAGGGAACTTGCGATTGTGAACGTGCGCATGCCGAACACTTGTGATGACATTATTGAGTACAAACGGCACTTGCGTGCAATTGAACGCGCGCTGCCGCCTGCTGCGCATTGCATGTCGATCATCCTGGGGGGCTGGAACTTAGTTCACATGGAAGACGGCGGGTTCCTGGGTGACGGTTCCTTTGGCCCCGGGGACCGCGCGCAGTGTGATGCTTTCCGGGAATTCTGTGGTCGCTGGTGCGAGCTGCACCAGCCTGGCCCCGCCCGAAGGGACATCAGGGGAAGGCCCCCCCCCGCAGTTTCTCGAGGCTTGACCGTGCATGCGCCGCTCTTCCAGCGGGCATCCTGAATGAGATGACGGTAACAGCGACCGCTGTTTGTACTCTGACGCCTCCTGGGGCTTCCTCGGACCATATTCCTGTGGCGGTTTCCCTGGCGCTACCAAGAACCACTGGGCAGTTCTCGATTCCTGAGTGGCTCAGCATGCATGCGATGTACCGTCGGATGGTCATCGAACAACTACAGACGTTGGTCTTGCCGAGCAACTTAGAGGAGAGGGCGCTTCGAGTGAAGGCCCTCTTTGCGACGGTAGCTACTGAATTCCGTCAGTCACTTTAAGTCCAGACAGGCCTCGAACGACGCGGAGCGACTCCATTTCGTTTTTCTTGCATATCGGGGATGGAGAGGGCAGCGGTGGTATTTGTGCCTCCGCGCGCTGCGTTGCTATGGTGCTCTCTGCCGCTTCTTCGGCGTCGACCGTGGAGTTTGCGCTGGTCCTGTTGGGCTTCACTCTCTCACTGTTACCCTGAAGCTTCGGTGATTCGATGGCGAGGAGGGGGGGGGGGGGGGCATGGCGGTGAGGTTGAGGAGGTTGAGAATCGGCGGAAGAAGAGGCTGGTCGCGCTGAGGAGGGGGTGGGCTTTGAAGAAGAGGCGCGTGGGACTCCGTGGTGTTCTCGGCGAACTGGGCATGCCGTGTCCGCGCTCCGATATCGCTGCCAGCGCCTTGGCGGCGCACTGGTCTCGGGTGTTCGCGTGCCAGGAGCACAGTGCACATCGCTGGCCTGCCATTATCGAGCACGTTCAGCGGTGCGAGGTTTGCCCTGGCCCTCCGCGGTGGCGTCTCGACCATGCCGAATTCTCCCGCAGAGCGCGGCGCAACAGTCGCTCTGCCCCCGGGCCCGACGGGATCCCGTATGGCTGCTGGGCGGCCCCTGAGGTGGTCGAGGTTTTATTCGAGGCCTATGAGGGCATTTATGATTCCGCTGGGGACTGTCTGCCGAGTGCCGTACTAGCCGCATGGTCTTCCTGCCCAAGGGTGGCGACCCTGCTGGTCAGGGGGCTTTCGTCTCGCGGGCACCTGGGGCGACTCGACCCCTATCTCTCGCTAGCGCGGATGCGAAAATCTGGTCTGGCGCTTTCTGTGTGGGCCTGAACGACGTTGCCCCACACGCGGTTATGGAACAGCAGCCGGGGGGGGGTCAAAGGGCGGAATATCTTGGATAACGTCGTCGGGGTCGAGGAATGGGGTCTCCTGCAGCATATGAGGGGCCACGATGAGGCGGGGGTGCTCTTCGCT